TTTATGTTACCGCTCTTAGCCGCGTGGAGGCAACCATAAAAAGAGCTTTTAGGTCTTAGTTAAAAAAAATACCAAGACCATGGATATATAACAGGTTTAAAATTTTAAACCTGAAATATAACCAAAATATAATATATTAAAAAATTTACATTAATTTAAAAAAAATAAATTAAAGAAAAAAATATATTTATCATAATCTACTTTTAGGTCTTAGTTTAAAAAAATACCAAGACCATGGATATATAACAGGTTTAAAATTTTAAACCTGAAATATAACCAAAATATAATATATTAAAAAATTTACATTAATTTAAAAAAATAAATTAAAGAAAAAAATTAGTCTACTCTAACATCGCATCTTCATCATTATGCTCATTAGATATGACAGTTAAATTATTAACCTGTGACGCCAAGTCAACGTTGACTTGGCTTCGGGGATATTGCCGATAGGGGATTCGGTACGTCTGGAATGGTCTCAGATCGGGAGGGAGGCAGAACTTGCGGCATGACGTTTGTCTCCACAACATCACGATAGCTTCGGCGCACTGGGGGTTCTGGACAGAACCTTACGATATGGTCTCCCCCACATCTGTAACAGATCGGGGGTTCTCTGGAGCCTCTGGAGAAGGAACCATAGTTTCGTCTTGGGCTTCGGGACCTACGAGACTGTCTGTCTCGAGTAGATCTGGTAATAGGTCCTATATTGAGCATCTGCCCATATAACCTTGATGCTTCAAGCCTGGCATCCTCCAGCCAGTTGTCTGACTCCACTGAGCCATCAATCATGCGGATTTGAAGTCGTATGAGATAGTTGCCTACACGGACAGTTGAGGTCATCTATAAAAATAGAAGATAAAAAAAATATATTAAATATCAAATTTTACCTTATGGAATATAATATTTGAACCCCCGATCTGTTACAGATGTGGGGGAGACCATATCGTAAGGTTCTGTCCAGAACCCCCAGTGCGCCGAAGCTATCGTGATGTTGTGGAGACAAACGTCATGCCGCTAGTTCTGCCTCCCTCCCGATCTGAGACCATTCCAGACGTACCGAATCCCCTATCGGCAATATCCCCGAAGCCAAATCAACGTTGACTTGGCGTCACAGGTTAATAATTTAACTGTCATATCTAATGAGCATAATGATGAAGATGCGATGTTAGAGTAGACTAATTTTTTTCTTTAATTTATTTTTTAAATTAATGTAAATTTTTTAATATATTATATTTTGGTTATATTTCAGGTTTAAAATTTTAAACCTGTTATATATCCATGGTCTTGGTATTTTTTTAAACTAAGACCTAAAAGTAGATTATGATAAATATATTTTTTTCTTTAATTTATTTTTTTTAAATTAATGTAAATTTTTTAATATATTATATTTTGGTTATATTTCAGGTTTAAAATTTTAAACCTGTTATATATCCATGGTCTTGGTATTTTTTTTAACTAAGACCTAAAAGCTCTTTTTATGGTTGCCTCCACGCGGCTAAGAGCGGTAACATAAAAAGGTGAAAATTGATTATTTTCCACCTTTTTATGGCTAAAACCATAATATTAAAACTAAACATTAAAATAAAGATCAAAAGCAATATATTAATAAATTATAGTATTTATTTTATTTTACAGATAAAGTCTTCAGACGAATCAAAGACGATATTGGGAACGATAATAGTCTTTACAACATTATATGATATTCTTATTATTGTTTTTTTTTAAATATTACCCTAATGTGATGATACAGTATACTTTTTTATTTTTATATTGATTTGCATATGCTGGTGTGGTATATAAATAATAAATAAACGATCATTTAAAAAAAAATTTGTATATAGCATGATATTTATTGAGATGTAATATAAATGTTGATTCTAAATCCCAAGAGTATAGGCTAATTAATAATATTTATAAAGACATGATTTTTTTAGAAAAATAAGATTTAACCCTTGACTAAAAAGGGGGAAAAAATTCCCGTAACTACATAGGTGGAGTCTATTTTACCCCAAATTTTGATTAGCTATATCTCATAACATATTAAGTTTGAATTATAAAATTTTAAATAAATATTAGAGATAATAAACACATAATATTAGGTTAATATATAATTCCAAAATAAAGTTATACAAATTTATAAGTTGCTGATATAATTTTTTTTTGAGACCTTAAATCATTTATGGTTGTCACTAAGAAATCTAGGAAAATAATTTCCCGGGAAATTATTCCCCAGAAAAAAAACCCCCTTGAAAAAAATTCACCGGAAAAAAAATACCCTGAAAGAAAAATCCCCCGAAAAAAATACCCCGGAAAATAATTCCCTTACATTTCGAACCCTATAAAATATTAAATAATTTTTAGAAAATTTACAAAATAGGAAAAAAAATACAATATACTTTAAAATATAATATTTACATATTCTGTATTCTTTTAATGAGTTAAATATGAATCTGTTTTGATTTTTTAAAAAAAACTGTATTTTGACCGGCGCGTAGTGTTTTTGACAAAAAAAGTGTTTTTCAAAAAATTACTAAGTTATAAAATAGTTTAAAATATAATATTTACATATTCTGTATTCTTTTAATGAGCTAAATATGAATCTGTTTTGATTTTAAAAAAAAAACTGTATTTTGACCGACGCGTAGTTTAGCCAAAAAAAATTTTTTTTAATTTTTTTTTATTAATACCATTTTCTGAATCTCCCTGAAAAGCTAAACATGAATCTGCTTTTATTTTTAAAAAAAAACGGATCTTTTGACCGGGGACGCGTAGTGTTTTAGAAAAAAAGTGTTTTTTCAAAAAATCACTAAGTTATTAAATACTTTAATATATAATATTTACATATTCTGTATTCTTTTAATGAGCTAAATATGAATCTGTTTTGATTTTTTTAAAAAAACTGTATTTTGACCGGGGACGCGTAGTTTAGCCAAAAAAAAAATTTTTTTTAATTTTTTTTATTAATACCATTTTCTGAATCTCCTTAAAAAGCTAAACATGAATCTGCTTTTATTTTTTAAAAAAACGGTTTTTTGACCGGGGACGCGTAATGTTTTCGAAAAAAAGTGTTTTTTCAAAAAATCACTAAGTTATTAAATACTTTAATATATAATATTTACATATTCTGTATTCTTTTAATGAGCTAAATATGAATCTGTTTTGATTTTTTAAAAAAAACTGTATTTTGACCGGGGACGCGTAGTTTAGCCAAAAAAAAAATTTTTCGAAAAAATTTTTTTTTATTAATACCATTTTCTGAATCTCCTTGAAAAGCTAAACATGAATCTGCTTTTATTTTAAAAAAAAAACTGTTTTTTGACCGGGGACGCTTAGTGTTTTTGAAAAAAAAGTGTTTTTTCAAAAAATCACTAAGTTATAAAATACTTTAAAATATAATATTTACATATTCTGTATTCTTTTAATGAGCTAAATATGAATTTGTTTTGATTTTTTTAAAAAAACTGTATTTTGACCGGGGACGCGTAGTTTAGCCAAAAAAAAAATTTTTTTGAAAATTGAAAAAATCACTAAGTTATAAAATACTTTAAAATATAATATTTACATATTCTGTATTCTTTTAATGAGTTAAATATGAATCTGTTTTTATTTTTTAAAAAAACTGTATTTTGACCGGGGACGCGTAGGGACGCGTAGTTTATTTTTTTAAAAAATAAATTTTTATAAATTTTATTTAGTTACTGTATTTTTTTTAAATTAAAAAAAACATTTTCTAACTCATATTATAAAGCTTAATAAGATTTCCTATTAATAATAATAAAAATAAGTCGTTTTGACCCGGAACGCGTAGTTTTCGGGGACGCGTATTTTAGTCATTCCCCTATTTTTTAATATACAAAAGAATAGATTTTTAATCCAAAAAAAAATTATAAATTCTTAAATTTTTATTTTTCCTTACTTTATTTCTAACTTTTTGCATTCTCTTTAAGTGAATTTTATCTTTATTTTTCTTATCTTTTCTTAATTTATTTTTCTTCTTTTGATAAATCTTTTTTGTCTTATTAAAAATAATATATTTATTTTTCATGGTATCTTTCTCCACTTTTATATTTTTATGTCATTTTTAACAATTCTTTTTCCTTTTCTTCATCCTATATAATATTTTTTTGATTTTTTAATGATTATTTTATCCTTATATTTTTTTTTTTAAATCTCACTTAATTTTTATTTCTCCTTGACAATCAAATTTTAAAGAACTTATAAACTGTTATAAAATTGAAATGTTAAACTAAGATCTGGAATGAAATTGTTTTCTATTCTGGTAATTAGCATTTAAAGGGAATATAACTATGTATTATATTATAAATGTCAACTATATATATAATTTACTTTTTACAAAAAAATCAATTGACCATAAAAGTTAATTTATTTTATTTGTTATGACAAAAATAAATAAAAATAAAAATTGACAATATTTAGTAGCTCCAGAATAGCAAGGAGGTAGGGGAGTTCAGGGTAATAGGATTGGTATTTTACATTTTTACCATAAAAATAAACAGAACTATAGATCAATGTGTAGCTCTCTCCCTCTCTACCTATATATTAATTGAGAACATATTGATAATCAAAAAACAAAATATCATTATTTCCTTTCAAAAACATGTATTTAATATATAATTTAAAACCATAAATTATATAAAATGAAAGTGAAAATGAAAATGAAAATTAAACAACTAAATTGTAATTAAATATATAAAATACCAGATTATCAAATAATAAAATTTGAATATAAAATATCATAACACTAACTATAATACTTTAGGAACTAAAGTTATGAAATAATTTATTTTTCTGGGTGGGGTACATTTGTTTTTATATGTGGCTATGTTTCATGCCAATTCACAGAGAAATTGAAGGGGGTCAATTGAAAATATATTATTTTACTCAAAATGACCCTTCTTACATATTTTAGGGTAATTTTATTTTAAAAAAATATCTTACTATATTTTAAATAAGAGATTATTTATTAAATATATAATATAAAGCTCGCTATTATTCAGATATCGAAAAGGATGAATATCACTTAGGTGAAAATTTGGCTGAAAGATATTATCACCAGGCTATATTGCTATGTCCTGATTTAGGTTCACATTTATTCCTTGTTTTTCTTAATTTAAATTTACTTGAATCAATATTTAAATAACACAAAATTACATAATACTTTTTATTATAGGCATGCCTCATAGTCAATTAGGTACATTATTCAACATGAAGTATCAAGGGATTATAGCTATTTTTCATTACATGAACTGGTTTATTTTATTATTTTTTTTTACATAAAAAGTATATATAGTCGAGGTTTTAAAATATTATCATTTATCCTATGTATGTTATTCTATTTTCTGGTCTAACTATTTAAAAAATGTATTTTCTTAATATCTTTTTTTGGCCAATAGTTTAATCAAATTTTTTTTAACAGCACAATGAGTAATCAAAGTTTTGAAGGCGCCCATTCTAACTTGAAAAGAGTTTTTGAAAGGGTTAGGCCCATGTATGAAGAAATAAGATTAAACGATACCACTTCAAGGTATTATATATTTAGATTTACATACACTATCATTTCGTTGTATATTTACATACATTTTCTTTACACTTTAACTTAGCTTTTCCATTTCATTTAGAATTTATTTTATGCAAATCTGGACCTAAAATTTTTTTATTGGTCGGGAACGTGCAGCCCTATTCCTATGATTTTATTTTTTATGAAAAATAATGAAGGATGTCCGACTAAAAAAGACGGGGCAATATTCATCGTTTTTGGGTCTGGGTATAAATCTTACTAACCAGCAACTGGGCTGGGCTGACCTCTAAGCCTTTTGAAATTTTGTTTATTGTTAAGCACATGGTTAAATTAACATGATAAAGTGAAACGAAATTATATAAGAAATAAAATGGAAATATTATCTGTATGTTTGTAAGTAGTGTTGTTAAACAGCCCGATTTGCGTCGATTTTTAAAAACGGCGCGATTAAGATTATAGCCAAAATAATATTATGTAAGCCTCAAGATTTATCTGATATATATATTTAAACTTTTCTGCTACTCTGAGCAAAATCTCCAGTTTTATATAATATTATTTTGTTTATAATCTTGATCCAGCCATATTTAAAATTTGACCATTTCAACACTTGTAAGTAATTATATAAAGAAAAATATTTACAAATTGGATGATTGATACATAATTAAATATTGATATTTTATTTAAATTTAAATTTAACATACCTTTATTGGGTTAATTTATTAATAAAAAAATGCTTAACTTGTATTGATATTAAATTCATCAGATACAACTTATTTATAAATCGATATTTATGTAAGAGTTAGGATTCACATGAAATTTTAAAAGATTTTATAATTTTGCTGGTTGTTTGATTCACCCACAAAATTTCAAATTTTATCAACAGATTCCTAATATTCAATATTTTATTTAAGTAATACAAAATGTATTTGGTGTTTTTTCAATAATTTCTTGAGAGTTGTTTTGGCATCATATTTTAATCTAAGACATGTACACCCACAATCGATTTGCAATTGAAGTTTTTTTATGATGATCATACTCGTCAAATTTACGGTTTATGAGATTTGTTAATAAAGTTATCGGTTTTACCTTTTTATTTTTAAATTTGCTTTCTATTTATTTTATATTTCAGGTATAATGATTTGTCAATTTTATTGATAAAATTCATTCATTTACTGGACTTCTTTTGCAATGAAGAGCTCAAGTAAATATTATGTTATAAATGTTTATTACCAATTTTTTTTAAACCCAATCAATCTGTAAAGAATGAGTATTTTCACCATTTTTATAAATCGAAAATTTGGTCCTTTAAAAAAACCCCTATTCTTATTATTGTAGTTTAAAATTATTACATTTAATGATACCTGAGTACTGAATATTATTTACTTTATTTTTTTAAATAATAAAAATTTACAAGTGTTAACTTAATGGAGTTGCAAAATTTATGTCAAGAAGTGTTGACCCTTTTTTCTTTTAATTTGGCCTCGTTTAACGACGCTAATATAAATGAAAATGCTTCCGCCACCAAAAACCAAGAGCCTAGCATTCTAGATACCAAAATAGTCTTGCAAATGACGTCATTATGCTTTTTGATCGTATCGATTTCTCAGAATACTGGTAATTATTTATATCATTTTTAATATATTGTTCTAAATCTTAATATTTAACAATGGCATCACTGATACTTACCATTCAGACTTGTTAATAATTCAATTTTTTATTTTCTATTAACTAGGCTTGCTCAAAAAAGAAACTGAAAATATTTATAATTTTTTTAAAATTATATTTAGAATATTAAAAAATAGGATTATTAGGAATAGATTTTTTGCTATTATATAAAATAAGTTCCGTTTTATATAATTTTTCTGTTTCATATCTTATTTGCTTTATAATTTATTTATTTTTGACCAAAATTAGGTTCAAAAAATTTATCACTTGCCGTAGCTTTCACTATAGGATTTTGCACCTACGTTCTCAATAGGACAGTACTGAATCTGCAAAATGGTATAAGGGAAATTATGACGAAAGAAAATGAACACAACATGCAGAATATAATAACGGGTAAAAAAATGTTTATTTTAATTTTGCAGAATATATATTGGTTTGTTAGGTAGGGAAATAAGAGAAAATGTTTTCTAATTTTATAATAATTTTGTTTTTGAATTGGTTTATAAATTATTTAAAAAATGAGGGCTATTTTTTTGAATAATTTTGTCTAAATCAATCATTCAAGGCTATTTGTTTCTACTGACGTTTATTAAATATAATATAGTTTAAAAATACAACAAATTCGATTTAATTTGTAATGGTTAAAAAAAGTTTTTTAGTTCAAATATTTAAATATTGATTTTTTGTCATGGAGAATTCAAAACAAAATCTCCAAATTTTTGGGGTATGTGAATGATGAGTTTCAAAATATGATAAAGGACACCTGATTATTCTTTAATGAATTTTAATGACCTTATTAAAAGTATACTAATGAAAAATTGAGTTGCGATATTTTTATACCAATTTCATTTATGTCAATAAATATGAAAATAAATAAATATGCAAAGGTTATTACCATAAAGTTGTAGCTGTTACAATACAATCTGTTAGAAACCTAACAAATTCTTTTAGATCTAATTAGCTACCTAAATTTTCTGGAAAACTATAATTATGGGAAAATCCTAAGGAAATTTGTGAGAAAAATGGGAAACAATGGAAACTTTCGTGAAATTTCATTTAAAAAAAGGATAATATGCAATATTGATTTTTTTTCAGACTTTATGCAAAAAATTTAGATTATGAATAAATATATCAAGGAAAATATAATTTAAATTGTTGAGGTTATTTTCTTTAGATGAGATTCAAAATCAGATATTGAACACTAAAAATTTAAGCAATAGTTACCCAGGGATAAAATATATATTTATCCTTATGAAATTAGTATTTTTCGACATTGTTTTTTTACATCCAATTTCAAGGCTTTGAATAAAATATTTCCAATGCAATTTTCATTTTGCTTTATTAAAATTGGACATTTATCTTTAACTTTTATTATTTAAACTAGAACAATTCCAATTAGAAGGTGTATCAACATCATTTTGGGCGATGATATGAATCTTTTATAATTCCATAAAATAACCAAGAGAATAAAAATTTTAAACTTATAAATTTGTTAACCAAAAATTTAATTCTGGCATAACAACTAGGTAGATTGATAGCTGCTATCTTGAAGAAATAATAGGAGTTATAGAAAGAACAAAAAATAAAATTTATTAGAATTTTTTGTTTACAACCAAAAAAGTTGTTTGAAATTTCGTAACAACTTATATTGATTGTAACAGCATTAAAACTTTTTTATGTTAATTTAAAACAAGTTAAATATTTAAAAAAATATTTCTATTTTAATAAACCTAGGAATTGGTAACGATGAGATACTCGAGCAAGCTCAGGTAATATTATATTGAATTAGGATAATAGGATTAGGATATTAAGATTAACGAATCTTTTTAAAAATAATCTTATATATTATTCCTACTTATTTGGTTGTTTTATACAATTAAAAAATCGAATAAATAAATTTTTAATAAATGTCCTATCATAATTAAATTACCATCAAAAATACTAAAATGTAATTTAAAATAAGTTTTGACAATTAAAATATATAAACTTGCCGATTATCATTATAGTTATAGTATCTAATATCAAATTATTTTGATAAAATATATTTTTTAAATTTCCAAACAGTCTTCTAAATCTACCACCCCGACAGAAAATACTTCTATAAGCACTGAAAGTCCTAGAATTCCACCGAGCAATCGTAGGAGACCATTACGACGTAACAAGAGAAATTCTTCAAGTGCTCAAGATGAAATTTTTAAGGATAAAAACGAGGACAATTACTCTTCTTGCGAGAGCGATTGGTCTTTATCACAAAGTTTGGATTCCGAGGAAAGTCACGAGATGGAAAAGGTACAAGGAGAAGAAACGACGAATGAAAATAAAGATAACTTGATCAGCTATAGAAATGAAGAAGACTTATCAGATGAAGTGTCACATAATGTTACCTCGGATAAAGATTCGATTGAAAGTCCAGAGAAAGTTGTGGAAGGAGATAAGGAAAATAAAGACAATGAAGAGGAAGAGGAAGGTGGGTTCGATTCTCAAAACGAGATCTCGGATAGGGTACCCTTCGAAAGATTACTTTCTACTAAACATAATAAAAATATGAAAAACCATGGAAAAATATCCGAAAACGATCTTGAAAATGATGATAAAATAATTGATGTAAAGGAGATTGAAAATAAAGAATTATCCGAGGACATATCGATTAAGGCTATAGTTGATTTGATCAAAAGAGAAAAGCTTTTATGCTTAGTTAAAATATTTTGTGGTTGGCTAGAAAGTCATAATGAAATTTTGAACATGTGCTCCAAGGTATTATAATTTTTTTGTCATCATTCAAAATGAGGCAAGTGAAGTGCATAATTTGTAGTGTTATTGAAAGTTATTTTTAAATCACAAGTTGCATGCTAAAAAGGTGACTAGTTTCAGTTATATTTCAAAAATAACTAGTTACGTGAGACATTATATTTAATAGCCTAAGTAAGTTGATTAAAATCTGATATACTTTAACTAACCAGTTGCTTTAACAACAATAATTTGAGTATCATATTTCTTCAACTTAGGGACTTCTATACCTCCCTAAACCAATGATTATTTTATCTCTCAAATTTTGTACCTCCTACCCTCTAAAATTTCACTCCGCCCTTCCCATCTAAATGTTATCCCCACCTCTCCCAATAAAATTTTGGCCCCACCCCCTCTTACCAAATCAAAAATAGAAAATAAATAAAGTCTAAATGAACCCTCCCCCCATCCCCATTTTATTTCAAATGACTATAGTCTCTTCATAAATACCCCCCCCCCAATTTCATTGACGATCTTGCTTCATACCCCCTAGTAGAAGTCCCTCAACTTACAATGAAACCCGATTAGGAAATTTATTTGCTATTAATTATAATATTATATATATCTGTTATTAATAACATAATTTTTTAAAGAGTTGCCAATCGATGTGGGGTAGCTTTGTTTCACTTTTAAATTGTCTTCCTAACGAAAATCATCTTAAAAATTTGGGTAATTCACTTAAAAGATTATATTACAGGATTTGCCATTGTTTCGACACAGAAACTCATTTTGAGAGCACAAAATATGTAAACAACCTTTTTTTTATTTTGTTATCCATTTCGAACATCATATATAAAAAATGTAAATACCCCTATCTTTTATCGTTATTTCGAACAAATTCTTATTCAAAACGAACATTTATAAAAAAAATAATTTTAACATTAAATTTATAATTTATTCATTAAAAAAAATTCTAAATAAATTTATTAGTTCAAAATAATTTTATGCATCTCACTTGTATTGCATGTAGTGTTGTTAATTTGGTCGTAAAATTTACAACCCAATTTTGTGCTCATGCCAGCTCTAAGCACGAACCCTGAGCACAGACCCGGGGTTCAGACCCTTACAATCAAGATATAATTAAATTCCCTTTTATTTGACGCCTATATCTAGTGTTGTTAAAAAGTCGAGTTCACCCGACTCAGAGTCAGAAGTCGTTAGTCGTGAACTCAAGCCGACTAGTAAAATACGCCCCCCTCTGATTATACTATTCATACAAAAAATCTATTTATATAGTTATCATCTAAATCAGTCATATATATGAATTTTTATTTATTAAAATTTCAATGTAAACAATAACTTTATAATGAAATAGGTTATATAAATAATGATTTAAAATATCACATTATTTAACAATGTACGATTAAGCTTTATAATTAAAATATCATCAAGTATATCTTTGTCTATGCCCTTAGAGAGGTTACAGTTAGTGCTAATGCACTAAATGCTCTCTCAACTGAGACCTGGGTGCAAGGAGCAGCAAGAATTATTTGAGATAATTTAAATAATTTGCATCTTATTTTTTAAAAAATTTTTTAATTTTAAGTTTAACTTTCTTGTTTTTTCCTTATTTTTATTTTCACTTGTTTATTATATTTTGAAATAAAAAATCAGGAATTAATAATGTTAAATAAAATAAAAAAAATGAATAAAATAATTGTTTTATAATAAAACCCCCATTTATAAATTTGGGTGGGTGGGATACATTTATTTAATGTTTTTTTTATTTATATAAAACTCTTGTTTATTTATAAGAAAATTCTCCAAAAAATTTATCAAATGAAAATTTAAAATTCTTATATTTTTTTATAAACAAGGATATAAATAATAAAGTAAAGAAAAGAGGGAGGGAGGAAGAGGGTTTATATTTAATTTTGACTTGGGAATGAAATTATTTAAACAAAAAATAAATATTTTTATTATGGAATTAATTTTTGGGGGGAAAAAAAAGGGAGGGGAATAGATTTGTTATTTTTTTCATTGATAGAGAAAAAAAAATTTTTTAAAAAAATATTAAATCAAGGAAAGAGGGGGAGGGGTATTTATAAGAACAAAATTATAATACATACTTTTAATACTTTATATATTTTTTTATTATATTTTATTCTTAATTTTAATTTAATTAAATATCATGAGCATGAGATATTATATATCTCTTAAATAATTTTCTCTATGTAGGGGAGACCGGGGTAAAGCAATTGACGGGGTAAAAATGTTAACGCGAATAACTTTTTAACCCTTGAGCACAAAGATTTTAAATTTGGTGTGAAGAACAGTGATTATTACCCAACCTTGTCGTTGATAGCTAAAGATTTCCTGGCTCAACAAACGACAAGCGTTCCAAGTGAGAGAGTCTTTAGCAAGGCAGTAGACTTTTAGACAAAGAAGCGAAATAGGATGTCGGGAACAATCCTTAAATATTGTATATGCCTAAATAATTGGGATATTAGTCTTACAGAATAAAATATATTTTATATTATTTATTGTATTGTGCAGTGTTATTGTATATTTACAAAATAAATTTTAATATTGAAAAGGCTAAATATATTTTAAAAAATATAAACCGTAAAAATAAAAAGAATAAGAATAAATTCTTAGATTTTTTTTTGACTGTCTCATTGGTTACTTTATATAAATTGTAGCAAATATGATATTATTAAAAAATAATGGCATATAATTTTTTCTAATATAAAATAAAGACTCTTGGATAAAAAAGACACCATTTAATCATTTTTTTTTAAATGTTAAGAAAAAGGGAAAGTTTAAAAAAAATTTATTAATTTTTTCCATACATTCACCAAATGAAGATATTTGATTATATTTTCTTTAAAATAATTCTTTGTATAAAGGGATTTCTTAAAAACCCGCGATAATCCCGGATAGTTCTGATCCTATTAAAAATTACGACAATACTGGCGTCTTTATGATTCTAAAACGAGAAACTATTTTTTTTAAATAAAATTCTGTATTAGTATATTTGATTCGAACTTTAATATCATCATTTTCTTTTGTAGGAAATTGAGTAAAATTTAACAAAAAATAAAATTATACCTAAAACGAATTATTCACTATACTATTTTATTTCATAAGATTCGTATTTTATGAATAAAAAAATTATTTTATTCGAATCGAATAAAGAAAATATATTATCTGTGGAATATTTTATTTATCTATTAATTATTAGATCGAATTATTCTCATTATTTGAAATAATTTATAAATATTAGAAATTATTCGTAAATAAATATTCCAAATTATTTGTTAATATTTCAAATTATTCAGAAATTTTCAAACCCAGAAATATTTGACATGATTCTTAAGTATTTAAAAGTTCCTTGAAAAGTTTTTACTTTTTTTTTCAACATCTATAAATCACTTATTAATTTTTAATATCATTTTTGAATATATTTTTGAAGAATTTAATTTTTGGCATCGAATATTCGATGAATCAAAAACAATAATGTTTTCATTATTCGAACCGATACGAATAAGGAATTATTTAATTCTTACTAATACGAATAATATAATTATTCTATTCGAAAACACAAATTATGTAAATATATGATTTGATTCGTATTTTTGTAGGAGATTCAAAGAATTTTTTATATTTTTATGTAAATAAACAAAAAATAAAATATTATTTGAAAAAAAACATGATCTAACTTTGTCTGTTTATAAAATAAATATAAAATATAAAAAATGTATCAGACAGGAGTTGCAAAAAGTAAAAATAATTATATAAAATAGTTAAAAATAAATTTTATCCACGCCTTTATTTCATTTTTTTCTGGAATTATTTAGAAGGGTAAATAAATGAGAAAGCCGTTATTTTACCTCGCTATAACACCTGGTTCTTGAGATATAGGGGCTCAAATCTGTAAAATTTTTAAAATGCTTATATCTCAAAAACTAATTATATATCATATTGTAAGTAAAAATATTCTCTAAAGGGCTATCAAAAAATAATAAAAATTGGCACCAAATTGAGTCTTTAACATTCGGTTTACCTATAATGCTTTACCTGTATTTTTAAGCAAAAAAGGGAGTTTGTTTTCAATGATATAATAAAATATATATTTATTAAATAATGTGATCAGGATTTCTATTAGTGTTGTTAAACGGTTATTTTTGAGCCGATTTTTAAAAACGGCTAAATCAATATTTTAACCAGAAAACAATTGTCTAAGCATCGAGTTTTCGATAATGTCTAAACCTTTGTGCCATCTTTCCGGATCTGGACCTTGGGTCTGAACGCCGGGTCTGTGCTCGGGGTTCGTGCTCAGAGCTGGTTTTGTCGATATTTTAGACCCAAACCCCGGGTCTGAACTCTACACAACCAACCAATTAACAACACTACTTATGCAGGCAAAAATAATTTTATATGTAAATAGGAAAATATCAAGTGCAGAAAAGGCTAATTTTATGTAATATTAAAGAACTTTTCATTCACTTTAGATAGATTCATAACGATATACAGTTAGATCTGTGTAGATTTGCTTTCTTACGACCTAAAAACTGTGTTTTAGCAGGTGGTCCAGGTACACATACCATGTGTATCTGCACATTACATTAAAAAATTTTACTTATTTTAATAGGTGGAAAATTAAAACAGCTAACAAACAATATTGGTCATTATAATTATCCTGTGTAAAAACAGAGCAAATAAATTAATTAATAATAACAAATATGATATATTCGTCCTCTAGTCGACTCACGTTCATATAAGTATAACTATTTGTCCTCTAGTCGACTCAAGTATATAATTCCTATTTGCAACTCAAGTTGGAAGTCTAAAATAAAAAAAAAGTAATAAACAACAAATATCTTAATTAATAATAACTAATTTGAAATATTGGTCCTTTAGTCGAATCAAGTTCATAGAACTATTCGTCCTCTAGTTGACTAAAGTATATAATTCCTATTTAAATCTCAAGTTGGAAGTCTAAAATAAAAAAATGTAAAAAACAGAACAAATCTTAATTATTAATAATTAATTTGAAATATTCGTCCTCTAGTCGACGACTCAAGTTTATCTCGAGTTCATAACTCAAGTCAGTTTGGGTCGATTTTTTCGACCCAAAACTTAGACTCAGTTTTCGACTGAGTCGAACAACACTACCCATTTCAATATTTTCCATTGTTAAAAATATTTCTGACCTCATAAGACCTAGTAGACCCGCCCACTTAGAATATTAATATAATAATAAGTATTAAAGTAAAATTTAATTAAAACACCTTTTATTTGACGCCCATACATAATATCAATATCATCATGTTGTTGTTAAAAATATTCATAATAATAATTATGATTAATAGTAGACTACAGTATATAATTAACACACCTAGCCATAATAGCCTATCGAGCGAGACCTAGAGGGAACGCTTGTTCTTTTAATGAATAAATCTTATGTATACCTTCCTACTAAGTTCAAAAAAAAGTTAAAAATAAATGGGTTCTTGTGCCAGGTCTGGACCCCGGGTCTGTGCTAGGGGTTCGTGCTCAGAGCTGGTTTAGTCGATATTTTCGACCCAAACCCCGGGTCTGGGCTCTACACAACCAACCAATTAACAACACTAATTGCATGTAAATAAAATATAATCTTCTTTTTTTTGAAAAAAGAATATTTATAAACTTATTGTTGAATACAAAGAAAGTTGTGATTTTTTTATATAAGTGGATAATTTTGCCTTAAGATTTGGAAAGTAATATTATAATAAATTTTTTTTAATGATGGAGGTTAAGAATGATATTAACTATTTTTTTAAAAAATATCCATCATTGTGTCATCATGAAAACACTAAAAAAGAAACATGTGCATTAACATAAAAAAAATGTAAATCTCATGTGCATAATTACAGTTTGAACTTTCTCAAATACAAAGGTAAACAAAAATAATATAACATTTTAATAAAATTATTTTATAATATTTTTTTACTTTTAAATTTAAATTTATAGATATCAATTCAAGATTGTGAAAGATATTTTTCTCATGTAAAGGAATATATAAATACCTGCTTAGCCATGGCGCCATTAATTATTAAAATAATATATAAATTTTTTTCCGTATGATTAAATATTAATAAAGCTATAAAAAAAATTATTTTTCAAGATTATTTTGATTATTTTATAATCTACTTTTATGCAATACCATTGATGCACAAATTTATTTTAAGCAAATAAATTTATTTAGAATTTTTTTAATGAATAAAATTATAAACTTAATGTAAAAAAATTTTTTTTTATAAATGTTCGTTTTGAATAAGAATTTGTTCGAAAAAACGATAACGGGTATTGACATTTTATTTTTTTATATGATGTTCGAATTGAATGATAACAAAATATAAAAAATGTTCACGTATTTTGTGCTCTCATAATAAGGTGCGAAAACAACGGCAAAACCCCATCTTTGTTGATCTAATAATAAAATATTGGTCATTTGAAATGCACTATCAATTTTTTATAAACCTTTACTCTATCTTTTAAATCACCAACAAAAGCTGTCAAATTAACCCTCTATTGCGTGACATATCAATAAATGATATAATTTTTTTTAAAAAACTTATTTTTGTATTTAAATAGCCCTTAATACAACTAAAAATAATTTTTTTAAAAAAATTTTTTTAAACCGTAAAAAAAATTTCAGTGTGTATATTTTAAATACACAATGCATGTAAAAAGTCATATTTTTTCACTTTCAAACCTATTACAAAATAAAGACATATAATTTTATTATTTGATAAATAATGTAAACCGCGCCTTTTTAGTATTTTGGTTAATGTGTTATTAAAACCTGTCTTATTTTTTTCTGCGTAATTAGACTTGTCGGCCCCTTGCTAATTTTTTTTATATTTGGTGTCAATTGATATTTGTTTTAGGCTAGCGTTCATATTTTTGTTAAATTTACATAGTATATGCTATTGAAATTTTAAATGTTAATAATAGCATCTGTTATTTACCGGTACCTTTAAAGCTACAAATACTCGCCTATACATTAACCAAGATTTATGAGCATCATATCAAGTATATGGAATACTATACGGTGATACCATTTACGCTTATGTGAATCCACGCTCCATCTTTTAGAATTCTTTTTCAGTTGGAAACTGACAATTATAAAATTTATTAGCGCTCGCTGAGCAATACTCCCTTTTGGGCGAGTAATACTTGAAGTTCTATACCACAGAACCAATTATCAAAACACAATTTAAAATTGGAATGTGGTGGTACCAATAGTTGAAATACCGCATAATCAACATCTGCTGATCTTGAATCAAGAATTTTCTCATCTGATGAGCCGTTAAGATTAGAATCAGAACTATCTTCTGGAATACAGTACATTTTATCTATAGATAGCAAATAAAGAACATTTTTTATTATAAAAAAAATCAAAAAAGCCCAAATTGATATTGCATTTGTATGCATTATGTATCTGGGTGCATGTACCTTAAAATTTAAATTTTAAACACTATTAATGAATATAACAATCTATTTATATATAAAACATTTCTTTTACCGTTATTTAATAGGATTTTTAAATACCTGTTCCTTAAAAATTTGTACAAGAGAAATGACATAATTTATAAAATGGAAAAAATGCAACTATTCGAAAGTTGTAAACTACGTATTTTAGAATTTTTATATTGATAACTGTATTTCATTTTTGACAAAATTAACTATTGAAATAAATAAAATATATGTGTATCTATTATACATCATGTGTAATTAAACTGTAAAAAATTTTATATTAAAATTTATTCCTTTTTTTATGGTATGGTTGTGTATTCAAATATGATGTACGCAATAGAGGGTTAAATTAAAAAATCCATCAATTATTAAAAAAAAATATTGAAAGATATATTTAGCCAACTCGAAAATCAACTTGCTCTTAATAACGAATCCTCAAACAAAGATATTATGGAGAATTCTAACGAAAATGAAGACGATTATAACGATAAAAATTGTCAAATGTCGTTTTTCGATCATTTTTCTTCTCTCTATTGTCATGGCAAGAAAAACTACATTTGCTTAACCGAAGACCTTTATTTATTTGGTTTTATGCCATTGAAGGCGGCCCAGAATCATTTATTGTACCGGCCCGGGAACTTTCCGAGTTTGAGTCCAGAATTTCAGGTAAGAACCTATTTTTACATCATGCAAATTTGCTTAAACTTGCTTTAATCTATTCATAATAGACTTTGATACGAATTTTACAACTTAGAAGGTTTGGGCATTTTATATCTGAAATGAAAGAAATTGATGTATTATACGACGATGAGATGGACCAATTTTTCAATACTTTCACTATAGCCGAAAAAGAGATGAAAACTCATAACATCAGAGCCATGGTTTATAATTTATTATATTTCAAAACATATTAATATTATAAAATGACCAAAGTTGTTAATTTTTGGCCATTATGCCAAAAAATATTTATAAATTAGGGAATATATAGATCAAATAAGTTTGCTTTTTAAGATTGTAAAAAAAATAAACATGAAAACCCTAAAATTGTTTTTTATCTTTTAAATGCAAAAATTGAAAAAAAGCAACGAAAAAATCAAACAAAAAACATGTTTAAAAATATTAGCCAAATTTAAAATACTCAAAAATAAATTTATACAATTAATTTTTTTATAGAAAAATAAAAAAAATATTAATTTTTAAAAAAAACTCAATTTATTAAAACTAGCGAATATTAAATCATTTTGATAATGAGAAAATTTAAAAAAATATTGGCAGAACATATTTTCCATAAAGATTGTAATAGTTAGTAGTATTAAAAAATTTGAACAAAAAAGAATGGGGTTATATAGGCAGGTGGCAAAATAAGAATTTAAGGGTCAATATCTACTCATTACCATCAATCTTTATCATATTTATTAAAAAATAATAAAAACAACTTTTATAGGTCTTTAATAAAAATGACTGTTGTAATATTGGAACATAGGTCAGTTAATATGATTCCAAAAATAAACTTAAATTTGATTTTAAATTAAAATTTGAGGATATTTAGTAGAGATTCAGAAATTATTTTAAATTTTTTTTATCATTTTAAAATAATTGTCATCCGATGATTTTTTTAAAAAAAAACATTCCTTAAATGAGTATTATATTATATATCAATAACTATTTAATATTAAGACTAGAAATTTTATAGGATAAATAATCAACGTTTGTTTTTCCCCAATTTTTAAATAATTTTTCACGTTTGCATAGATTATTTAATAATATAATGAATTAAACTTTATATCAAATATACTCAACATATTTTATACATACCAGAGACCTTCATGGGCCTTATTTTTTGATCAAGCTTGGCCCAGGCCAACAGCAAAAAAATTTTTTAAGCCCAGGGTTGGCCCATATTTAATATTACAAAAAATTCTCAAGCCCTTGAAGTTTAGAAATTTTTCTCAACCCCACCATAAGCCAATATCTAAAAATTTAATTTATTGTATTTAATGAAAATAAACAGTATAGTGCATTTAGGCAATCATTTTGTTTACAATACTGAAATTTATTATTAGAAAAAAAAATTGAAATATATATTTAAAATTTTTAAATAAGTTAAATTTAGATTTAAAAAATTAAATTTTTTTTTTCAGATATGATATTAGAGCGGGCCAGCCTACCCATGAAGGTTTCTGTTATAACTAATACATTAAGCTGAGAATAAATCTTTTTAATCAATTCTTATTAATTATATTCAAACAAATATTTTATTTTTTACATGTAACATATTTCATTTAGCTTGTTGAACTTTTAAAATCTCCTATACGTACGCACATTTACCTACATTTTCAAATATCAGTTGAAAAATATACTCCAACTTATTTAAATTTTATAATCTTAATAATTATAAAAAAATTTTTTATTAAATTTACATACAAAAGGTTGCTAAAACTGACCATAACAATGCTTCTAGATTCGCTCGTAGTAATATCAGTAAAGTATTAGATGAAAATGTGGCTAAGAAGAAAGAAAACCTCATGAGGCTTATGGGTCACCTGAGACTTAAGTGCGAGGCCAACGTATTAGATATAGATGGAAACAAAGGAAATACAACCGGCAATCTGGTAGAAAAATTTTAGAAACAGTAATAAGGAAAAAAGATTAGGGTGAGAATAATTCCCAAGGAAGGAAAACTTTTTTATATGTATACTTAAAACTAGGGATGTACTGATATTTTATATCGGATCGGATCGGGCCGATATTTCGCCCATTTTACAATATCAGTTATCGGCAAATATTATAAAATTTTCCGATCCGATCCGATATAAAATGGCGCTTTTAACAAAATTTAAAAAAAGTTGTATCTAAAAAACCATTTATTTTTATAAATAAAATCGAAATATATTTTTATGTTTAATTTTTTAATAGTAATAATTAGTTAATAAACATTCTGCAAAATAGTTATTTTTTTCGCATTCTTTAAAAAAGTGTTCATTAATCTCTTCAGAATCTGTTTTTAGTGATGCTAGTGATATTAACAGTTCACCGCAGACCGATCTCTGATAAATTGGAAATTTTGGTATTTCTAAAAAGAAATCTTCGATATATTAATTTTAAATATTAATTTCAAATTTCATAATATATTTGTTTATTACTAATTATGTAAATAGATTAATGTTATTACTTATTATATAAATAATAGCAATTGAATTGAATATAAACTATAACTGATCATTATAATATATTTAAATGACATATGTTATGATATAGTAAAATTATAGATGTTGTACTAATAAAAAGTAAATTAAAAATTAAAACCGGTATCTTTACAGAATACAAAATTAGATATGATATCGGATCGGTTATCGGCCGATATCAATTTAATATCTGGAATATCGGATCATCGGCCTCCAAAAAGTGGTATCGGTATACCCCAACTTAAAACTTAATTTATTTTACTCTCCAGCAGTTTCAACAAATTTTTTTTTTTTTAAATATATCATATTAAATAATATATCAAAGGGAAACGAAGATGTAAATAATGCTTTCATGATACCGCCTCCATACCTAGTTCCAGATACTCACGTTTTGTGCGAAAAATTGCATCTCGTTAAAATTTTGCTGAATTCCAAAAATTTTATTATTATCTTACCACGATCAGGTTCGTATTTTTTTTTGGTAGATAATTTAGTTATATATGACATCGTTAAAATTTATATTTTTTAAAATTATCTAATATTTCGAAAAGTTTACTAGATTTTCAATCTTCTGTAAATGTTTATGTGCTCGGCCACACTTAATCTGATTGACTTTAAATTTTTCTAAATACTTTAATTAGAGTTGCAATCCACTTTTTTTATCTATACCTATCCGATATTTTGATTGATTTATTTTTACCCTAAATTTTATCTACTTTGCAGATGAGGTCAAAAAATAAATGATTAAAGTTTATATCATTTTTATCTTTAAAAAAGGATATAGTAAATAAATTTATTAAAATTTGGGAAAGTAGTATATGCCGATTTACATATACGATGATGGTAAATCAATGATTACTATATAATTATTGTGAACTAATACCGTGCTAAACAATGGCGTAACTATGGGGTTTGATTCCGGGTTAGGACATCTCCCTAATCCAAAAATGTTTATACAACAAACATTAAATTGGTCAAAATATATTTTATAATGTTACACATTTTATTTTCCTTATAAATAAATTGATTTTTTTAAAAACTCCTCGTTAATAATTTATATTTGGAATTGCTCCTGTACCATTATCTTATCTGAAGCTTAACATAATTCGAGCTTTAAACAAGCTGAAAATTACAAAAATCTGGCTAATAAATCGTAAGTTAATATTCATAAACCTTGGATTATTTTAAGATTCCATATAATATATTGAAGGAAATTTTATTACCTATCAAAAATAACGCAAAACTACTTGGCCATACTAAAATAATTAAATATCATTTATTATCAAGATCTAAAGAGCAAGAATTAGTAAACGTTACTATTATAATCAATGCATAGAGATAAACTTCGTTTTATATTTTCAATATTGTAGATACCCTACAATAATTTAATCTCTATTAAGACTTCAAATCGTTCTCAAATTACATTGAGTCGTTGATTAAAATAAGCCTTAGAACCTTAAAAATTTGTTAATTTTATTAGCGATCCTACCTATCACATGCACAGTGGAAAAATTACTTCAAGATAACTTCTGCGCCAAAAATTAATGACCAAGCCTTATTAATAATATAACATGATCACACTCCCAACTATTAAAATGCGTTAGAAATAAGAAAATATCTAAAGACGCAAGAGAATTAAATTATAAACTTGATTTATAGATTTGACATATTTCTTATCATTTTTTATCTTTTGAATATTTCTTATGATTTTTATATTTGTAATTACTTTTTTTGATACAATCCTGCATTATTTTAGCCTTTTATTTTTATGGGCAAATATACTATTTTTTAAATATAATTTATCTTTTCGATATTTAAACCTTTCTTATTATTCGCAATTTTACTCTTTATCCTTAGCAATAAAGTAATTAAATAGTATATATAAATATCATTTATTATATTCAAAGTTCACATATCAAATCTTAAATAACATTCGAAACCTAAAAAATTTTGGTTACACCACTTGTGTCCATCTACAATTTTTTCACTGATCCAATACGATATTTAAACAAAACGGATTCGATATTTGATTGATTTATATTTATCATCAATTTTTGAACAAATTTCATTAATTCTATTAAACTAACTCTCATGAGTAAAAAGTTTATTTTTTTCCCCTCACTATCTTATTTAAAATATGGACAATGTTTTTGGCTAAGTGATATAACAAAAAATAAAATCACATTTTTAGCTGCTCTTTCTTTTGAAATAATTCTATCTTTTTTAACATTACAAATATATTGAATTTTGGTTCCTTTTGAAATTATGCATAAAATAATATATTTATTGTAAACAATCTACAATCATAAAAGAATCCAAAACAATTTAAATGTTGGATCAAGTTTTTGAAAATATCAGCCCAATCTATTTTTGTATAGCGCTTAATATCGGCACAGCTCTAACGATGGTCATTGCTGACTTTCAATAAATTGAACTATGATTTGTATAATTGTTTCTATATTTTTTTAATATAGTATTAGATTTACGAAACAGAATTATATGGTTTGCCAATTGTTCTAATTATTATTTAATATAACTGTAATGGTAACTTTTTATGCTAAATTAGAATGATATAAGTTATATTTAAAATCCTAATCGAAACAGCTGACACTTCGCATGTCATTAGAATGCACCTATATTTTTACGAAATATTTAAAATAAACCCCTAATTACGTTTGATTTATTATTAAATATTTTAGTGTTGGATCTTTTGGATATCTTAAAAAAAGATAGTAATAAAGCGAGAAGAGTGATTAGATGGATTGAAGCTGAAATGAGAGATGGAAACAAGTTATTTAAATATAATTATTGTAATAAATACGGCTATGCAGATCTACAAATTTTTCACTGATCCAATCCAATATTTATACAAAAGCGATTCGAAAACCGATATTTATTTTTATTTGCCATCTATCTTTGAATTAATGTAATAAAAAAATTAACTAATTGTAATGGACAAAATAAGATATAAAATTTTCCGCCTCTCTTGGCCATATTGGGTGCATTATCACTAATGATTAAGTATATTTTGTTTTTTTTATTCCCCCAAAGTTAATCTTATTTCAAAATATGGGCAATGTTTGATTGAAAGTAACTAGTTAAATATTTAAAAATCTTATTCTTATTGCATTTAAAATAATTCGATTTTTTTAAAACATTACAAATAAATTGAATTTTGGTTCCTTTTATTATTATTAGATAATTTGTGAAATAAAACCCTAGGAATTCAAATATTTTGACCCAAGCCCTAAAATTTTTATTTATTTTAGGCCTGAACCCGAAAATTTTAATTAAAAAATATAAATTACATTTTTATATAGTTAAATGAAATACAACACTAATTCCTTCTTCTTATCACAGATAAATTTAAATTTTATTCTGATAAAATATATTAAAAATTTTTGAGGCCCAGGTCCGGCATACAGGGTTCTAATGTTTAATAAAAAAAAATATATATTCAATAAAAAAATCTAATAACAATAATATCTGATCCTCAAAAAATATCGATAAAAAACACAATATATCAACCACGATCCGATATTATCAAAACAATCCTAGTAATAAAATTATAACCTTTTAAAATCACTAATAGTAATAAAATCATTAAAAAAAATTTTTGCTATATGTACTCTACATTACTACAATACAGATATTTACACGTTCAATTCAAAAATGAACAATATCTTGATATGAGGTTTGATAAATCCTTCGATGAAAGAGACAAAAAGATCCGGTAATTTTTTATATATTTCTATGATCGAAATAAAAATAGTCTATATAATTTCATTTCACTTATTTCAGTCACCTTAAAAAAATCTTGTAAATATTTTTGAAATTAAAAAAGGTTATTATTTTTATATCAATTTTTAAAGGAGAGCGATTAAAAAAAACACAATGTCACCCACTTAACTTAATAAAAAAACTATTATATATTTTATTACATAAAAAAAATTATTTTTCATTAAATGTTAAAAATGAATAAATATTTGCTAAGCTTGCTTTGCGACATGATGAGCTGTGCAAAGTATTTTGCCCTCAAAGCCGACTCCGACAAAAGCTTCCAACAAACTAGGCCAGAAATAAATGATAATATATTGGCCTTAATTTTAACATATGAGCTACCCGGAAAATTAGTTGAAAAATTTTGCAAGCCTCATATAATCAAAATGATTTCGGGTATGTATATAAATTTATTATTTATTAATAAAAAATTGTTTTAATAAGAATTATATATAAAATATTATAAGTATATCTATATATTAGAGATATGCAAAGGATTTTAGAGAAATAAAAAAAATTTGTATTTTTGAAGAAAGTTGATGAATTTGGAATTAAATAAATATTAACTAAAATGTTAGCAAAGTGTAATAAGATTAATAAAAAAAATCTTAAATATATGAACGTGAAAAATTTTTTTAACCCTTTTATTTTTAGATTAATTTAATTAGGCAGTTCTTAAATTAAAAAGAAATAAGATCATTGTTTTAAAAGAATATTAATAAAATTCGAATTCAGGGATTTGTAAGGTCCGGTTAGATTTTTTATATATGAATTGTTCCCAGTTCGTTAATATGAATCGCCCGAACAGCGAGCTTTGCAGATCTCTAATATATGTAAACTTATAGGAAGCTTTATTTAATTAAAAAGGAAAAATAAAATAATTTTAACAAATTTTTTCGATACATAGGCATTAACATGATGGATATTAATAAATTTTACGATTTGTGGAAATGGATGAATAGGGATGGCAAAAATATTGTCTGGAAAGAAAATTGCTTAATAACATCCAATTCAAGACATTACAATGATTATGATGAAAACAATTGTAGTGGAAATGACCGAGAAAGATCGATCAAACAAGATAATTATTACGATTCACCACCATATCCAAAAAACTCTAGAGATAACAGAGATTTTATTTCGAATAGAGGCGAAAAAAGTGGGAAAAATAGCATGAGATACTATAGGGGTGCCAAAAGAAACGACACTGAATGTTCGAATTAAAAAAAGTGCATCAAAATGATAAGATAATTCGTTTGATCTTGTAAAGGAAAGAGTTTTTGACAAAAAAATGCGGGCTTGGTAAGCCTGATTTTTGTGAGCGCGCCAATAATTATGAAAAAAAATTATATGGACTTCTTTCAAAAGTTTGCTTTAACTTAACTTGGTATCCTTCTTATTAAGACTAAGGAATTTATTATAATATTATAGAAGCTAAACAATTTTATGAAAAATTTGTGATTCTTTTTTAGTTCTTAAATTTGCTATTTAATTTAATTTTCGAAATGTGCACTTTAAAATTTTAATAATTTTATTTTTTTTATATACCCATGTATCCAGTTAAAGCCATCTTAAACCTTGGCATTACATAGTTATATGTATTTGATTTATAATAGTTTAATCATTTTAAATAAAGTTGTTTATACGGAATTAGTAACATTTTAAATTTGAAAGATGTTGAAATATAACTTTACAAGAATATCTAATTTTCTGATAATAAATATATCACCATTAGTCAAATTAAGACGAAAATCAAATTTATTTAGTAATAAATATAAAGTATATACAAAAATTTAAATAAATATATTAGTAAAAACCATATAATTTTTTAAAATAATAAATTATACCCTTTTATTAATTTACTTTTTATAATAACGACGTTTGATAAGTTTTATTAGATAATTATAAAATGAAGAATGTTATTTAACTCATTCCTAGTTTTTATTCCAAAACTTTCAATGGAGTTTGGGATTTGGTTTTTTGTTCTTTTAAGTCACAATTCTCAAGGGCCGACGAATATTGAAGCATTATGAAACTCAGTGATTCCAATCTATTTTCGCAATTAGTCAACATTTTTTGTATATCGGCGATTTGCTCGAAAATTTCGTTCCTGCTCTCTTTACCTCCAATTTTATCTCCTGACCGCTGCCTCCTCTTTAGTCTCATCATACTTCTGGTAGGTTGAGGTATATTAATATCGTGAAGCATATCGTGCTTTTGCATCAAGAGTTCGGTTTTTGTGTTAAGTTCATCTTCCATTTCGCGCTTTATGTCATCTAACTAGTTTTTCAAAATTTAAAAAATGAAATCAGGGTATTTTAATATGCAATTTAAGCAAGGATCCAGAACAAGGGCATTTTTTTTATTTTGCTTCTTTCCAGTTCCATTAAAATATAAAAAAAATTGTCTATTAGTATTAATCTCAATCCAGTTCTTTTACAATTATATTTTTATTTTCTTCAAAATATTCTGAGACATTTATGAGCATTAGAAAAAAATAATTCTGAATAATGTTCTGGAATCATCGAAGCGTGTTCCGGATAATTTTTATAACAATGTGTCAACCCCCATTCATTTTTTTTCGAAAATATTACAAGTTTTGCCCAGAAATCGAAGTTATTGTCTGGAAAAAAAATTAATACAACTCTTAAAAATAGAACTAAATAAATAATTACCATGCTCTTCAATCTTTCTTTTCTTTCGTCAATTTCTAAATGAAGTAGCATTTCGCGTCCTAGTCTTTTGGCTTCTTCAATTAAAATTGCTTCTTTATCCTTATCACTGCCTGCCTTCTCAAAATCGTGTGTCTGGTAATTTTGGTCGACACATTTCGGTTCAAAGTTATCCAAATTAAAATTGTATGTCGGGAATGCCTTTTATAATTTTCAAAAAATGATTTTAAATTTGTAATTTTTTTTAGAGATTCTCAGAGATTTAAACTAACCGAAAACCTTTAGAAATGAATTTTAATTGACCCCTTGAAAAGTCAGTTTCTACCCATAAAATAAGTTTTAGATAATTTTATCAACTTTAAAAACGAAATAGTGATGACAGGAGCAGTTCAGACCGTTCCACTACTCATTTTTTTAAAAGTGGTCAGATGTATTTAGATTAAGTTTAGAAATTAAATAAAATCCAGTTATTTTATCTGCCAAAAAAAATGTAAATTGTAAACATTACTGTTGTAGCAGTTAGAAAAAAGAAGAAATAATTTAATATAATATACAAAATGTCAGTCATTTTTTATGACATGAACAATTAATTTTCCTTGGGGGAAGAAGGGAGAATGGGAGATCAGAATATGCCAGCTGGGGAATATTGGGATTTGAACTATTTTTATGAATATGAAACATTTATAAATTATTTTGATGTGAAAATAAATAAAATATGGTATAACATGAAATTAAACAATGTGATTGTCCTAGTTGGTAATGTTTATTGTTGGGTTTATTTAATTATTAGAAAAGGATTGTTTGGGATTGATAAGTTATATTTTTTAAAGGGAAGGGTTGAGAGTAAGAGGCAATTACTTTGAGATCTTTTACGATATTTTGATCAACAATTTTTTCGTCAGAATTTGATTTTCTCCGCCTAATGTCACGGCCCCCTTCTTTGTATAGGTCATCTATGGTTAAAGTACTTTTAGACATTTTAGTGTCATTAAAATTAGTATTATCTGTGTTAATTGCTTCGTAACTATGTGTAGATTTTATTATTCTAGGTGTAAGGCTTAAATGGCTATATAATTTGTTTGCATTATTAATTCCGGGGGGAGGTGGACGCTTTGGCGGTTCAGTCTATATAATAATTTTTTAAATTTATATAAAAAATATTAGCTCGATAATTAATTTATTAACACAAAAATAATAATTTTGTTTCTATTTTTAAATTTCAAAGATAAATAAAAGTTTCATGAGGAAAAACCTTTATAAGCACGTCTGAATCATGAGAACCGTCAATAATATTGTCCCCTAAAATCATGTTCCCTGTAGAAGCACTGAAATATAAAATAAAATATACCCAATTTTTGCTGAAATAAATATATTTTATTTAACTATCTCATACCTAATATAATTTTATATGCAACTTAAATCTAACTTACTATTTTATCACTCAGGGTTGGGCAGTATCGCGGATATTTGTATCTAAGATACAAGATACTTTTGTATCTTGTATTAAATTTTGGAAAGTGTCCAGTATCTATGATACATATTATTTAAAAGTATTTGTATCTTAACCAACTTTGTATTCAAAAAGATACAGATACTTTAAAAAAAATTTATATTAGTTAATTTAAATACTATTAAAATTTAAAAAGATAATGTTTTAAAATTTAAATGAAAAATTTAATCAGAAGTTAGATATTTTAAGGTAATGTATGATATACGACGTTGGTCGTTATATAGCAATTTGCTAACAATTAGAACTACCATATTTTATTTGAATCGTTTTATATCCGTCTATTAAAGAAAATAGAATAATATGTTTATCTTCGTCTTCAGAAGATTCTCCAACCAAAAAATATAACTATAAATTTAAATTAAGTATTTTAAATGGGAAATTTTTTCAAGTACTTCAATATGATCATAATAAAATTACTACAGAATCTAAAGAATGCCACAAATCTATAAGTGGTTCTGCGGACTCTTCATCAAATTTTGTCAAGTATCTAAAAGTATAATATATAATTATATATAATAAATCACATTTATAATCATATTCATTATCATTTCATATTCCATATCTGTTGTTAAATTTAGAAGTATTTTAAAATAAATTTTTATATTGATTGATAATGAAATTAAAATGATATATAAAAAATCTATGAAAAGAATAAGAAAACTAATATTGATAAAAAAGAGGTTGTTAATTTGAATACTAGGCCAAAATATAATCCAAATTTTTGGGGCACCATTTTTATATGATAGATAGTACTTAGCAATATTTAATCCACCTTTCATATGTATTTTTTTTAATTTTTACATATATGCTTAAAATATAATTTTCTTTATAAAATTAATTAAAAGAAATATTTATTAAATATAATACAATATTACCCTCCTCTGCCCGTTGAACGATTATTTAGCTTTGCTAATATGGTTAACAAACCAAATCGTCAAACATTGAACGATAAATTATTTGAAAAATTAATAATATTAAAAAACAATGCTGATTTATGATGCTGATATATTAATATACTAATTATATAATTATATATAATTATTAAAATAAATATCGCATTATCTTATATAATAAATTTGTTATTTTCTACAATTTATTTTCAAATTTTTTATAAATTTATATTATAGATTATAAGAAAATAAAGCTTTATACATTTTGATTTTGACTATTTAAAGTTTTTTTTAAAAAAGTATCTTGTATCTTAAATACTTTTTTTTAAAAGATACAAGTATCTTGTATCTTATATCTTATTGAAATTTTTCCAAAGTATCTTGTATCTTAAATACAAAATTTTATAAAGTATCTGTACCTGTATCCGAATACAATTTTCTGAAAATTTGCCCAACCCTGTTATCACTGAATATGCATTTAAATATCGAAACAAAAGCTAAGCAAAATAATTGGTTCATATACTTTTTTGAACACAAAGTACCGTTTTGACATCTGATTAGGCACTTCTTATGACATATCATAGAGCATTTGGAACAACAAAAGGCCATTTTTAGCCAAATCTTTTAATAATTTATATTATAATTAATTTCAAATCAACATATGGTTTTAGGATTATAATTTGAAAAATAAAGTTAAAATGCATTCGTTATGAATAAATAACTATACAAAAAGTAAAACATGCTAAATCAGTACCTTTTTTCCGCAATATTGACATAAGGTGCCTTTAGGAAATTGTTTCAAAACGAAAGAATGAACGAGTGAAATTAGAGTATCCACTGTTATTTTTGAAATTTTATTTTAAAAAATGTACAAATTATGATTATATTTATTCAATTTTTTAAAACTTGCTCTATAAAATTTTAAATCTAGCTCTGACGCCAAATAAAATTTTAAAGTCAGAAAAATATTTATTAGTGAGTAGTGTTGCGTAATCGGCTAATTTTAGCCGACTAAAAACGGCTTAGCCGAGATTTTAGGTGGAAAAATCGGCTAAGCCTAATTAGGTATAGCCTAAAAATCGGCTAAGCCTAATAAGGCTAAGCCTAAAAATCGGCTAAGCCTAAAAATTGGCTAAGCCTAAAAATGGGCTAAGCCTAAAAATTGGCTAAAATAAATTAGTCAAAATTCTGCCTCGATGCTTAGCATTAATTATTATTTATTTATTTTAGTAAAATAATTTATTTTATTTATATTTAATGTGAATATTTTATTATTATCAACAAATAAACATGATATGATTTAATATTTTTTATTTATATTATTATATTTTGAAATGAAAATAAATTTATTTATTTGATGTTTTTTTAATAAAAAAAATAATATGCTGCTATATTGTAAAAATGTAATATTCTTTTTAATATAATTTATTAGTGATTTTCACAATCTTCTTTGTAAATGCATCTTTTATTGAGGAATTATATTGTAAATTTTATTAGATAAATAAACAATCTTTTAGGTGAAATCTTTTATCATTTTTTTAAAATTATCTATTTATCATTAAATGAAGTGGATTTTATGAAACTTTTTTGATGATTTTATATGATCTTTTTAAGGATAATATTTTAATGTGACAATCGTCATAATCGTTCTTTTATAAGTTTTTGGATTTTTTTTGAAGAAAGTATGTTAAAATAAGTATTAATAACATGTGTAAATACAAATTTAGTGAAGATGTACCAATGAAAAGTGACAATTGTCATAATCGTTATTTTTAAAGTTTTTCGAATTTTTTTGACGAAAATATGTTAAAATAAGAATTAATAACATGTGTAAATATAAATTTAGTGAAGATGTACCAATGAAAAGTGACAATTGTCATAATGGTTAATTTTAAAGTTTTTTGAATTTTTTTGACGAAAATTTGTTAAAATAAGTATTAATAACATGTGTAAATATAAATTTAGTGAAGATGTACCATAGAAAAGTGACAATTGTCATAATCGTTATTTTTAAAGTTTTTTGAATTTTTTTGACGAAAATATGTTAAAATAAGTATTAATAACATGTGTAAATATAAATATAGTGAAGATGTACCATAGAAAAGTGACAATTGTCATAATCGTTATTTTTTTTGAATTTTTTTGACGAAAATATCTTAAAATAAGTATTAATAACATGTGTAAATATAAATTTAGTGAAGATGTACCATAGAAAACTGACAATTGTCATAATCGCTATTTTTAAAGTTTTTTGAATTTTTTTGACGAAAATATGTTAAAATAAGTATTAATAACATGTGTAAATATAAATTTAGTGAAGATGTACCAATGAAAAGTGACATTTGTCATAATCGTTAATTTTAAAGTTTTTTGAATTTTTTTGAAGAAAATATGTTAAAATAAGTATTAATAACATGTGTAAATATAAATTTAGTGAAGAAGTACCAATGAAAAGTGACATTTGTCATAATTGTTATTTTTAAAATTTTTTGAAGAAAATATGTTAAAATAAATATTAAAAACATGTTTAAATTAAAATTTAGTGAAGATGTGCCATAGAAAAGTGACAATTGTCATAATCGTTATTTTTAATTTTTTTGACGAAAATATGTTAAAATAAGTATTAATAACATAAATATAAATTTAGTGAAGATGTACCAATGAAAAGTGACAATTGTCATAATCGTTATTTTTAAAGTTTTTTGAATTTTATTGACAAAGGTATTTTAAAATAAGTATTGATAACATGTTTAAATAAAAATTTAGTGAAGATATACTCTAGATAAGCGACAATTGTCATAATCGTTATTTTTAAAGTTTTTTGATTTTTTTTGACGAAAATAGTTAACTTGCATCGATATTGATTTTAAAATAGAAAAAAAAGTTTACCCAAATTTTAAACAAGATTGTCTGGTGAAAATTGGTAAAAAAATAATAATTTCTAACTTAGGATTAGATATTATGATATAAATTTTGCATATTAATTTCTGACCCGATGAACAAATGTAATAAAATGCCAATTTGCTCCTGTTTTTGGGGAAGAATCTATTATTACCATATGTTTTTCTATGGCATATACTCAGGCAATTTTAATTTTACAATCTATATTTTTACCCATTTACATCAAAGAAATTTTAAAAATAACGATTATGACAATTGTCACTTTTCTATAGTACATCTCCACTAAATTTTTATTTAAACATGTTATTATTACTCATTTTAACATATTTTCGTCAACAAAAATCAAAAAACTTAAAAAATAATGATTATGACAATTGTCGTTTATCTAGAGTACATCTTCATTAAATTTTTATTTAAACATGTTATATATACATATTTTAAAATATTTTCGTCAAAAATTCAAAAAACTTTAAGAATAACGATTATGACAATTGTCACTTTTCATTGGTACATCTTCACTAAATTTATATTTACACATGTTATTAATACTTATTTTAACATATTTTCGTCAAAAAAATTCAAAAAATTTAAAAAATAACGAATATGACAATTGTCACTTTTCATTGTCTTCACTAAATTTATATTTACACATGTTATTAATACTTATTTTAACATATTTTCGTCAAAAAAATTCAAAAAACTTTAAAAATAACCATTATGACAATGTCAATTTTCTATGGTACATCTTCACTAAATTTTATTTAAACATGTTATCAATACTTATTTTAACATATTTTCTTCAAAAAAATTCAAAAAACTTATAAAATAACGATTATGACAATTGTCACTTTTCTATGGTACATCTTCACTAAATTTTTATTTAAACATGTTTTTAATACTTATTTTAACATATTTTCTTCAAAAAAATTCAAAAAACTTATAAAATAACGATTATGATAATTGTCACTTTTCTATGGTACATCTTCACTAAATTTTTATTTAAACATGTTTTTAATACTTATTTTAACATATTTTCTTCAAAAAACTTTAAAAATAACGATTATGACAATTGTCAATTTTCTATGGTACATCTTCACTAAATTTTTATTTAAACATGTAATTAATACTTATTTTAACATATTGTCGTCAAAAAAATTCAAAAAACTTTAAAAATAACCATTATGACAATTGTCACTTTTCTTTGGTACATCTTCACTAAATTTATATTTACACATGTTATTAATACTTATTTTAACCTATTTTCTTCAAAAAAATTCAAAAAACTTATAAAATAACGATTATGACAATTGTCACATTAAAATATTATCCTTAAAAAGATCATATAAAATCATCAAAAAAGTTTCATAAAATCCACCTCATTTAATAAAAAAGATAATTTAAAAAAATGATAAAAAAATTATAAAAGATTTCACCTAAAATATATTTATCTAATAAAATTTACAATATAATTCCTCAATAAAGGATGTATTTATAAAGAAGATTGTAAAAATCACTAATAAATTATATTAAAAAGAATATTACAATTTTACAATATAGCAGCATATTATTTTTTTTATTAAAATAACATCAAATAAATAAATTTATTTTCATTTCAAAATATAATAATATAAATAAAAAATATTAAATCATATCATGTTTATTTGTTGATAATAATAAAATATTTACATTAAATATAAATAAAATAAATAAATAATAATTAATACTAAGCATCGATGCAAAATTTTGACTAATTTTTAGCAGATTTATATAGGCTTAGCCGATTTTTAGGCTTAACCTAATTAGGCTTAGCCGATTTTTAGTTTTAGCCGATTTTTAGGCTTACCTAATTAGGCTTAGCCGATTTTTAGGCTTAGGCTAATAGGCTTAGCCGATTTTTAGGCTTAGCCTTATTAGGCTTAGGCGTAGTTTTTAGCCGATTACGCAACACTATTAGTGAGTGTTAGTAGAATACATCAATTGATGCTAATAAAGATATCGTTTGATTTGTAGAAATAATTTAAATTTAAGTTTTGAGAAACCATTAAATGTTGGGGGAATAGTGGTGACTTTTAATTCATTAATGGGTAAAATAGACTTTGCATCCCATTTAGTGAGGTCATCTGGTGATCCATCATCAATTTTCGAGATATTGTCTAATAGTAATAGAAAATATAATAAAATGTTTGTTAAAACGTTGGTAACAATATCTGAATATTCTCAAGAATATAAAAATACAATTAATCTGTGTAAAAAAAATTTTTTACATTTTCTTTATAAAAGATAAGGAAAATTTGATATTTTCTATATCCAACTTATAGAAATAAAAAATCAAAATTTCAATTAAATACAATGAAAAGTGTGATAACGCGTTTTATAGTAAATCTAAACCATATAATCTTCATTTTTAGATGTCTGTTCTTATCCATCCTAATTAAAAAATGTTAAATAACAAACAATGGCATATAATAATAAGATGTAACATTTACTATAGATTTAGATATTACATATTTCCAATAAACCGGTGTGGTTGCTTTGTCAAACCATTGCTGAGTTATCTGAGTCTTAATTTTATCTACCTCTTTGTTCCGTCGTTTCTTCCTAGGTTCGTCTTCCAGATTTACTAAGCTTCCCCTTCTCTAACAGTATCTCCTCTTCCCTTTTTGCAGTTGATCAGCATGTTTCTGTAATATCTATAGTGGCTTATCAAATAAGAAATCTAATGTAGCCTTCTTTCCAATGGCGTAACCTATATTTTTGAGTAGGTGCCCAATGTTTAAAAAAAATTCGCAGCCTTCGGCCAAAGATTTTTGTCTCAAAATTTTACATTTCCTTTATGAATTTAAATATAATAAATAAATTTCTCGTTTATTTATAGAAAAAAAATGATAATCATATAAACACTAATTGTTAATTAATAATGTGACTTTATTAGTAAGGAGTAAAATTGTGAATATTAAAAAAAAATATTTAAATATCGTGAAAAATATAAATTGCATAGGGAAAAATAAAATATGAATTGTTATAAAATTAATGTGTAATTTTTAGAAAATTCTGCTCTAAACCTCTGAACTTTTAATTATATTAGTTTATATAGATTATAAATGCGGCAAAATTGTCGGAAATTCATAGAACATCCTACATGCTGGAATACTTTGGTAAAATCAGATTTCTGAATTAAAATTGTAAATATAACATTGACGCAAATATATATAAATATCGAAAAAATAATGAATAAAATATAGAATAAAAATTTACAATATAATTCATAATGTATACTGGGTAAAAAATGATTAGAAATGTCTATATATAATATCCAAATTTTTATATTCTCATTGACCCTTCGTGTTTTATAATATATTTTAATAGTTGAGTGAGATCACAACAATCTAATAAGGCCAAACCACCATTAATTCTTCATTGCGCTGCTCTTTATTACAAATTTTTAACATTTGTCCTAACGTATCAATGAAATTTTGAGAACGATTTAAAAGCTTTGTAAAGCATAAATTACCGTACCAAAATAGGAATCAACTATATTTATAAGTTTATAATCACTTACAATATTGGCAACATAAACAAATCTAATCTCTTATAGAGTTGCAAAACCTTTCAACTGCCAGTATTTTTATTTCGACTATTTTAGATTTCAAACTAATTGAGAGGCCAAGATATGGCTGCTCAAAGTACAATATTTTGATAAATTTGTAAATGCGAATATCTCTTGAAGTTGTTCAGCTAGCATAATTAAAATATATTCAAATAGCTTAATTATAACTCTTTGATATTATATAAAAATTTAATTAAGCAAAATGTATATAGGGCAAATACAGTAGATCAAAATCCGGACATGAGTATAAAATGAAATAGAGTTTTTTTTTGTGTGATAGTACGTATATATATAAAAAAATGGGATAGATATTCTATAGGTTTTAAAATAATATTCATGTAAAAAACAAGCCATATTTCCCTAAATAACTTTTAAATTACAATCATCAAATTTGAAATTATTCATTGCACATTCTAGTCAATTGTATTGTTTATAATTTTTTTCAAGGTGCCCTCCTTTAATTTGTTTAAAGTACACATTAGGATCCTGCAAGGTCGATTCGTGTCATAAATAAAATATTGGCACGACCTGGCCCCTATAAAAAAAATTTATTTTATTTCCACTTTTCCGCCTCCTTGATTGAATACCACAATTGAAAAACAAGAAAAGTTTTAGAAAATCAGGGAACCGAGGTAATTGACAAGTAGTAAGAGCGAACAAAATATTAACTGCTGTTCATATTTTAGATAAAAAGAACGCGTATAAATCTTACCCATATTTGATTGTTTAATTATTTTTACGTAGTACATAACAAAAAATTAGGTTAAATTAAATCATCATCATTCAAATTACTAAATGTTATCAGAATTATTGCTGAATATTTAAACATTATAATAGAAAACAGATTAGAGAATATGATAAAAAAAATTAAATTTTATTAATTTTAACGTGAAATAAAAGATTTCAATTGAGTTTAAATTTAAATCTCTTTCAGTTTTGTTATTACGAAACAAACAATTGCACAAATTCAATTTTTTCAAATATTTTTAAATTAAATTTAAATATTATTTTTCACAAATGACAATTTAGAGTGAAAATAATCAGGCCAAATTTGAGAGATTTAACCTTGGCAATTTAAAAGTTATTTAGGCTATAGCGCTGTAGTAAGAGTGAAATCGGGCCATTTTCGTCCCTTTACATAATTGATTATAACTTTAAAATCTGTAGAATCTTCATCCTAACGATATATATAGTGAACTTCCTAACAAATTATAAAAAAAAACACGATTTTCAACCCTAACTACACAATTTTTTTAAAACCTTTTGTTATAATTTGTTGTATAATTATAAACAAGAAAAAAATAAAATTTTAGCCTCCAACTCCTAGCGGCGATATTTGGCTCAATAAAGGTCGGAAAAATGAGGTATTTTTCCCAAAATGCACCTTTAATTTTGGATATCTCTGGATATAATTCAGGAAAAGCGCATTTATGCATTAGCGAAAATAAAATTGTTAAATTATATTCATATTGTGAAATATTCAATTTACAAAATTTAAATTAAAAAATTGTATTTGGCCTTCAATAAAATTATAATTAAAATTGATTTGTATTTATTTTTATAATAAATTAACCTTAGATCATCTCCCCCAAATACTTTTTCAGATCTTAAATAACTAATCTTATAAATTTTAAACATAAAATATTTGATAGCTATTTAATTTATTAATTAGTCCTATAATCGATACATAAAAAAAATTGAAAAATGCAGATTTGCTTTCATGATCATTTCCGGTTTGCTTGAGAATTAAAATTTTAATATTATGTCTTTTAATCTATATAAATTTAAATGATGCTTCTAGCGTAATTATATTCGATATATAAAACTACAGGGAGTGCACTTTTCCCAAAATAAATTATCCGACCTTCAAACGCCTATATTTCAGCTGCTCCCTGGAGTTTAAGACTAAATCTAATTTTATTTATTTATAATATGCAAACTCTAAAAATTTAGAAAAATATAAGTCGGGTAAAAGCTTATGGTGTTTTGTCAGGGAATTCACCCAATACCTTGATCTAAGATCTAATTGTATAAAAACAAAGAGAAATATAGTTTGCCCTTAATATTTTTTTTTGTCAAATAGATTTTTATATAATATTAAAGACTATAATTTAGCTACTAGAATATATTTGAATTAATATTTTAGCTTAATAACATCCAGAGATATTTGTATTTTAAAATTCAAAAATTTGCACTTAAGCGCCCATATCTTGACCCATGGGTGAGGTTAAAGTTAAAATTCTGAATTTTTCTTAGTTACTATAGGTATCATCAATATACAAATTAAGAAAAAAAGGAATTTGAGAGGCTCAGGTCGAAACTCTGTTGATTTGTAGTGGAATTTACTATATATCATATTCGGTCGATGAATAGCCTTACGCTTATACTGAAAAAATATTCAAATTTGGTTAAATAAATTAAATCAATTTACTTAACCATATCCTATAAATTTTTAAAATCCTGAATTTATTTAAATAAATTATTTATTATTTTCTCCCAGTGGTGCAAGTGCCCCATCTTGTATCCTGTTGTAAGCAACCATGCACACAGCTCAAGTTAAGATATAATGTGTAGGACCAATTTCTAGAAGTATGCGTCATTTGCGAGCATTTCTGTAGTAAGTTAACATAAAAGATTTTTTTAAAACAGTTTAAACTATTTTCTATGGCGCCATATATTGAGTATTTATACTTCCGATCATTCAATAATGTTAGAATACGATGCCTCTAATACAGGTAATATGTAACATAGAAGAAAAGAATAATTTTAATTTTAAAAATATATATAAATTAATATTCAATTAATAAACAGTGAATTGAGTTTATATGTATATATATATATATTATATACTCAACTCAGTATAACAGCATCTTGAGCCAACTCGATAATGTTTGCTTCAGGACTAATTGCACTATTAAATATCCCGGTATCTTGCATTGTTAAATTGGCCGATTTACCTTTTCTAAATATATGAATATTTTAGTTTAAACAAAAGAGGAATATAAAGTGAAGGCCATTATTTATGGATTTTAAAAATCAAACGTAGTGCCGTTTCGCTATGGAGAATCTAAAGCGCATACAGCATGAGAATGATAAAATACTGATATTTTCTTAACAAAATTTACTAATACTTTTGGTAAATGTAGTCCATGCCAAATTTGATGAGTTTTTTGCCACCGACGGCAGCTTTGTGTCTCAGATAGTTTCCAGAAGTTTGATGAGTGGTGGTGTAAGCCGATGTGGACGTTGTAGGAGTGACAATGTTTTGAATGGATAAGGGTTCTAAGTATTAAAGTGAATATATTTGTTTAAAAAAAATATAGGATGTTAATATTAAACCGAAACGAATATCGGTTCAGGTTCGGATAAAAAATAACGATTGAAAGTTCAGGTTCGGTTAGTAAAAAATAAAAATATCGGTTCGGTTTAAACCTCTAAAAATCGGGTTGAACATCTTTGTATTCAAACCTACATTCGAATTATGTATAAAGAAGAATATTTTTTTTATTTCATCAAAAACATAAACATAGTTGATTTTTATTAATTGCACTTTATAAAATAACATTTAATTTATAAATATAACAAATAAATATCAATGATTAATTTTAATATGAACAATATTTAAATTTATTTACTTAAATTTTTTTTATTAAGCAGCACAATTAATATATTTTCAGGATTCGTCTCACTAAAATTACATCTATAAGGATATAGTATAAATTTAATTGTTGATAAACATCTTTCCACACTAACTTAGGTAGCCGGCACTGCCAGTATGATATCCGATTTGATGTGCCATTTATAAAACTATATGTAAATAAATTATATATTGGATTTAATTTTTCCCTTGGCATTATAATTTATAAGATTAGAATATTTAAAAAATGTTGTAAAATGGCAATATACTAAAGTTTATAAAAATTATGACTGACATTTATCAATCAAATGTGATTGATAATAATCTTTAAAACAATTCGAATATAATTAAAATGTTTTGCAATATAACTTAATTTTATAAACATGAGATCATGAGGCTCGAACCGGTTCAGAGGCATTTTAACGGGTAGGTTCAGGTTCGGCTAGAAATTTTTTAGTGGTTTATTTTTAGCGGTTTAATGGTTTGGTTTGGATCCCTGATTAAAATCCATGCTCAAATAAATTACCGAAATACCCATTAATTTAAAATAAAATAGAAGGCTATTGTAAAAATCACGATAAAATGTCTACATATCAATTTGAGACGTAGCTAGTACCTTATCAATGAAAGATTAATTAAAGGTGAGTACTGATTTTGTATTGTTTATTTATATGTAGTCGAGGAATATATTGGGTAAATAATAACGTTTGAAATTGGCGCTAATATTAAAAAATACAAAAAAAATGAAGTTTAGTTTTTACTTAATTTTTTTTAAATCCTATTATGACGTAGCCAAATGAAAATATAAATGAGGTTTGTTACTTTTCTGCAATCCATTAAGAAAGATTGATAAATTAATTTTCAATTATTGGTATTTTAATTTTTAATTTCCAGTGAATAGAATTTCAGAGCTCGTAATTTTTGTTTTTCGTAAAAATCATTATATTATTTTTTCATTTTGCTGATGCTAAGAATATATTTCAAACAAGCTAACTGCAAGGTATCTACCATATTTTAAATTTAAAACAAATAAATAAAACTCTAATGAACGTTCGATTAAAATAAAATAGCTGTGCAAGGATTAAAGATATTTAATTTTAAAAGAAAAGTAGTGTATTTAATGCTTTACAATTTTTATTTCCTCTTCCATTGAGATTAGAGGGAAGCACTCTATATTAGTAAGAGTTTATGTAGAATATGATTCGATTCTTTGTGTTTACTTAAAAACTGATGGATAAAATTTTACCATCAGGTAACAAACTGACTCAACCTCGTCTCGAGTGTTGTTATTAATTCATAATATTTAAGAAAATTCATGATCTGGTTGAAGCCCATGTTGATATACTGAGTGAGACGAATCCTCCTGTACTTCAAACTCAAACTGGTTTATTATATAATCTATATAACGAAAAGTAGAAATTGCAAGAATGCCGTTTCTATCGTAACCAGAACTTTTTAAGAATGATCAATGCCAACTTTGCACTCTCAGTATTTTAACGGATCTGATTCCAACGTAATTTTATAAAAAGTTAAGAAATATCAATTTATATGTTTTAATTTATTAATTGAAAATTAGGCTTGGTGTACATTCATTAGAATTGTATAAAAAATATTTGCTGTAAAATGTTATTTTTACTATTAGATGCATATAAAAATAATATATACCATTCGTACTCTTAAGTGGCACCGCTTTCTGAAGTTCAAATTTTTCTTGACCTTCGATTAAAGATTTATTATTCATTATCAAATATCCCGTTCTATTGTAATCATTTTCTCTACAAAATTTGTAGAGGCAAAGTTGTTGGTTGAACGTGGCATCAAATCGACTTGATGAAATGTCTGTTAAAAAAAATAACATGTTTGATCTAAATATTTCAGAATTATGATAAATAATGTTAATCTACCTAAAATAAATCTTTTCTTTTCAGAGTTTGGAACCTACACCAAAAAAAGTTTTGTTTCTGGTTCTTAAAATTTTGAAAACTGGGTTCTGGTTCTTAAAATTTTGAAAACTGGGTTCTGGTTCTTAAATTTGACCCGAAATTCTGCTAAAGCAATCAAAATAAAAATGCAAACAATAAATAAACTTCTAAATGAATAAATTTTAAAAAAGGGTTCCAGATTCTAATTTTAATATTTCTCCCCTTTCCTAGGGAGTTCCAGGTTTTGGTTCCAAACATTGTTTTAAAAATAACAAAACTGGTCATCATAAAGAAAAAATTTCGACAGTGTTTTAATCATGTTTAGAGGTAGAGTCAATAAAAAGTTATATAAGCTATATATTATACCTATAATATTTTTTCCGTCTTCCAAAGAAACAGAAGATGGAGGTGTTTGAAAGGCGAAGGATAATAGAATATCTCCGTAACATCTTTTGTACTCGAATATGGGAGGTTGCTGACCAGTATTGGTTCTGTAAAATCTTGATTTACTAGTGGAATATTTTGTTGTAATGTTAATTGTACAAAATAATTTTTGATAAATGAAAAAAATATTTATATAAGAATCAATTTGATAATAATAATATTTTTTATGAACAAATAAAATATTAACAAACATTTTATTGCTTTAAAAGAAATTACATTAATCCACACAAATCAAAATCACTTATCCCCACCCTCTCCCCCACCTTCTGCTAAATAAAGTATGGAAACTAGAGATCAGCAAAACCCAGCCCGAAGGGCATTACTTGGCCCGATGCAGATCACTAATGAAATGGATAAAATTTACTTATTTAAAGGTAAAAAGATATCCGGAATTTTGAGAGACAAGTCGAGGGGCGGTTGAATTTCTAATCTTTTATTTACCTTCCCGTTTTCTTGTAGAGCACATTCGGCAAAAAATGTGGAAGGATCCATTTCATAACTCAACTGAAATAAAACATCGTAATTAAATTAAGTGTAATAAATGGAGTACGATAAAAATCGTAACGAGCAAAACCTATTTGAACAAAAATTGTTCTTGTTTAGTTATTTATTTCACTTACAAAAAGAGCGGTAATGAATTGATTATAAAATAATATAACAAACACAATTAAATAATTTATCTACATTATCTAATATATAAAATCTCCATAATCAAAACATGATCGTTTTCGTATCTCCCTAATGTATTTAAAATTTAAGGAGACTATATAATGTAATGTTAATTTTTTGATATCTACAAGAATCGAACCACAAACCTCCCTTTTCAAAGGCGTATGCTTTACGCGTGCACCAACTTGAATATAATTAAATTTAAAATATTAATTAATAACTGATATTTTTAAAATTTTGCCGTTTATTACCATAACTAGCTGACAGTGTTGAAGGTTAATTATTTACGTTACTAAATATATTTTTATTAATAAATTTTATAAAAATATTATTTAGAAGAAAAAGAGGTAAAATTGTTGCAATACAGTGAGCATTATGAATATTAGAAATATCAAAATTTAAATTTGTGATGGAAATCATATTGGATTAAATTTAAAATAGAGATGCTTGAAAATTTTTATGGGTTAGATATTGGCCTGAAATTTTATTTTGCAGACATAACTAAGCCTGATCAAAAAACCAAGGCTCATGCAACTTCTATATTCTGATTGTATTTTTAAATGAATTATGAATTTTACATATTTTATTTAAGTTCTTAACTACAAAAATTATTATGGTCTTTGGCGGGCTTGAGAAAATTTTCTCAACATGATTATGAGCATGCACCTGTTGGGAATTTTTTTATATTAGATATTAGGCATAATATTTATATGGGTCTCAGGTAAAAGCTAATTTAAATATATTTTTACTCAAAAAATAGTATTCACTATTAGTCCTAATGAGTTGGTCTTGGTCTAAAATAGGATTGAGTGGGATTAAAAATAATAAAAAATGAATATGCTTTTTAGAGATTTATTACCTATCTCCAGGTTTGAGAAAAAAATTTCAAAATTATTACGCGTTGGCCAGATGAGAAAAATTTTTTAAAATTATTATGGGTGAGGCTGGGTTTGGAATATATTTTTATGAATTATATTGGACTTAGGGAACATTTTTCAAAATTATTATCAGCTTAGACGCTTGGGAATTCTATTATCAACTATGGATCAGTCATTGTGACCTAAAACACATTATTTTGCAGGCCTGGGGACCTCGCCTGAAGGGGGGAGATGGTTATAAAGAATAAAAAGATATTATTTTCAAATAACAGGTAACAACTATCATAAAAGTAGGGAGAAAAACTAACTAATTACCCCTCAACCCCGTCTTTCTTGACGGGTTATTAGCTAGTTACTATATATTTAAAATTGAATAGAAGGATATATTTTCTTGGCTCGACTGGCAAACAGTTGAATTTATTAAAATTAAAGTATGCTTAATTGTTGTATACCTGTCCAATAACGTAGGTATCTGAGTCCATTTTAAAATGGTTATCTGTCATCTCCAAATTATTCTGTCCAACGTTTTTACCTATTTTTTGAAAATATATAGATAAATCATATTTTAAACTTAAGATCGACCAAAGTGTGCGGGTTAGGTAAAAATGTTACTTTTAAACACGGTAAGTCGTTTCAGACAGGATTAGTTATGATTTTTATTTTATAACAAATTAGTCATTTCATTTTTTTAAAAAAACAATTTAATTTGATCGGAAAATAAATTTTAAGCTTCCCCTTAAAATTCTGCCTTCTGCTTTAAGGTGGCAAGAGAGTGACAATCTTTGATTGGTTATGGAGACAAGGGTTATATGATTTGCTTGCTCAAGTTAATTCAACCTTTTGAATTCGTATGTTTATAACAGTTTGGAACCTGAACTAAAAAGAGTTCTGGTTATCGGTTCTGAATATGTGGTTCTGGTTCCGAAAATTTTGGAAATTAATGGGTCTTAAATTTGATGCAGGTCAATGGGTTCCAAGTTATGGTTCCAAATCAAAAAAATATTTTCAAACAATAAATGATCTACATAAACATTTTAAACAATATATATGTATAAATTATTTGCACTTTTGTTAGAACCGGTATCTGGAAATTTTTTAAAAATGTATTTTTAGGCTCGCGGGGTCGGGCAGATTTGCAAGGATCTAGTTATATTCTTTCCAATTTATCCACAAGGATTAAAAAGAATCATTTCCTTTCTTATTTTTTTTAATTTGCCGTTAAAAATCAAAGTATTATAAGAAGAAGAAAGGCTACAAGTTCCAACAATGATCACAGCAAGTTGATAATAACCAAAATATAAATTAAATACCAATATATATTTTATAAAAAAACCTTTTGCTTTATCATCTATAGTTTTGATAATTTTGTTGTTAAGTTGAGTTTCATACCACACACAAATATTGAGATAAGTATTTTGACATTTTTTCAATAGTATCAAAGTTTCTGAATTGTTATTCGTAGCAAGATCCGGGTAGAACAGGTTAAAAGAGAAATGATTAGGTTTCCAATCGATGTCCTGTTTATATATATTTTTTAAATTTTAAATATCATGCGTTATCTAACTTGTAACCAGAAAATTAATTTTAATATGTCGCTTTTATAAATATATTTTTGATGAATACTTTATTGTTTAGGATAGCCCGCTCAATACTTTCTAATCTATTAAATGATATTATATGTATTAATAAAATTTAAAGTTCTAATTTTTTGTATGAATCCTATATTAAATTCTAGTAATTTTAATTATAAATTGAATAAGTAAAAATATAAGAATTTTTGTAATAAAGTTATTTTATAATATATAAAAATTAAGAAATATAAATCAATTATCAATTTAATTTGAATCAAATTTTTTTATTTCAACTAAACATAATATTTATCAAAAATATTTATCAAAATTCATTACTTGTTAAAAAAAAAACCTTTTGAATATTATTTAAACTTATTTTAGCAATTTAATAAGTATGAATTATTTGGTAGTATTTCCTATGCTTAAAGTAATATTAAATTTTTTCCATCGATTTATTTGCTCTTATATTTCATTTTTTTAAAATGCCAATTTCAATAAAACAAATTAAATATATAGAATGAAAAACTTATTTTCCAGCTTTTTCTAGTCCAAGCATATTTTCAAGAAGTTAAAAATATTATTTCTAATTTGAGCCTATTTTTAAAAACGGCTAGCTTAATATTTCATCCAGAAAAATATTAAGGTATGCTTGAAGATTTTTCTCATAATAAAGTTTAGACATCTATTAGTAATATCTCGAGGTTTAGGAAGTATTTTTCTGGCTAAAATATTGAGTCAGCCGTATTAAGAAATTGGCTTAAATTGAGCCATTTAACAAAACTAATCTACAGAAACTACTATATCAAAGAATTGATTAAAGATTAGGATATTTCTGCATTATCGCCAAATTCTATTTTAGAATCTCTCAAAATTCGAAACATTATTTTATATGGAAGGCAAAAATTTTTTTTTTACTAAACTTTTCTGATTTCGTATTTAATCATTAATACCAGGTGTGCCAGTTATTCGATACAATCTGATTCGATAATTTTTTGCAATACATCCAAGGATTTTTTGATCGAAATTAGTATAGTTAAAAGATCTTTTGAGGCGGATATTTACAAATGTTGTAAATTATTTTATAAAAAAATTTCGGATTTCTTCATTAATTTTACATAGTATTGGTCATTGACTTAAAGATGCCTTGTTAGTGTATTCTGTCTACTCTCATTAGAAAAATGATTATTTCCAAAATATTTAACATTTGTTCCTTTATACTTTTTACCTTTCAATAATTATAATAGATAAAATATATGAAAAGTGCGTCTGAACAAAAATATTTCCAAAATAGATTTATACTAATATTATCCTCATCTTCAACATGTTTTACATATCATCTAAATGTAACCGTACAATTAAAATCATTTTTGTATTTTGTTATTTTTCCAAATTGTTTCTTATATTTGTAAAATGTTTAAAATATACTTTTTCAAGTATTTAAAATAAATATGAAGATATTCCTATTTAATATGAATAAAGATGTCACATATATATTTTATTCATAAATAAAAAAATCCAAACGCTTAAAGCTTGATCATTTAAAATCCTACTTTTTTAAAAAAAAAAAAATCTGATATAAATTAAAAAAATACGATTTAAATATTAAAAAAAATTGGCTTTTTAAAAAATCAATGATTTAAATACACAACAATAAATATCCATTTATTCTTTGTATAAGGAAAAACAGAATTAGCGACCTATATTAAAAAAGGGTATTCAGAAAAAATTCATTGCTAGGCTTATATAAAATATTTAAAAAAACTGATTTTTTACCGTTTTGTAATCGATATTTTGCGATTTTAGAGTGTTAGAAGATTCTAATAAATGGTAAGCAAATTGATTAGGCTTTGAACACATGGCCCTCCAATTCATCATAAAAGGGGGATAATTTTGTTCACTTTTAGTCAAATAATCGGTTTTCTATCAGTTTATTTAAAAACAGTTTATTTATCGTTGAAATGAAGCAAACAAGCATTCAATAAGAGTTTAAAAAGAAATATAGACAAATTACCGTTATAATAATATACTACTAGGGTAGTACCACTTTATTTCACTGATTTTGATATGGACTAAATCGATCCAAAAAATATTTGTATTGATTTGATTTATAATTTTTAAACTAAATTTGAATGCGCAAAGTCAAAAAATAGTAAAAGGTTTTGTTTTTGTATCAATATTTAATTTTAAGTTTTACTATTTCATATAAATTAATATAAAAATTTACATCTAAAATTGTGATAATTTTTAAAATCTTTCTTAAATTTAGTTTTACTTCAGTTGATAAATGTATGATAAACTCGAAATTGCGATATTCTCAAATAACAACAAATAAAAAATATTTTTAAAAATCTATTACACCAGAAATATAAAAACCTATTATAAAAAATCGGTATGGATCGGTATATAAAACATAGTATCTGCAGCCTGAAGAAAGTTTATACATACTTTTTCATGAAAGGTGAGAGAATCGACACCCACATCTTGACGCAATCTATTTGCCCCCTTATCCACTGGTAAGTCATGCGCATTAATATTTAAGGCACCGTTATCAAGGCGTAAATCAAAACTTTGCGCGTTGGCCATATTTTCAGGCAAACTGTGTACTCTTTTATGAAACCCTGAATTGCCGTGTGCTTTAATGTCTTTGCAGATTAAAGCGGTGTTTATTATCGAGGAAGGGTTAAAATTATCATTATTAAGATTTCGAAAATGAGGAATTTTGACGTTGTTGGGATAATTGGGCATGTTAGGAGAGGTAAGGTTGGTAGCACTATGGACTAATTTTAAAGGCATGGTTACGGGTTTAGATTTGGGAGGGGTGACGGATTTGATAAAGTTGGTCTCGATTTGTTCCTCTTCCGATTCTTCTGAAAAATTAGAATAGAGAGAAAAATTAGGTAATAACTTTAAACGATTTGATATAATTGTATCCTTCCTTTATTCATTTTTATTCTTATTACCTCTCTTTATATCACCTCCCTTTTAGCAAAAAATAAATAAAAATGTAACCACCTAAAGCAAATTCACTGATGGGGACCTTTCCTTCATTTTCACGATAAGTTTCGTTACCAATATAGAATGAGGTGGATGACGAAGATAACTGAGGTCCAGACTCCGAATTGCAAAACGGTCTAAAATTTGATAGATCGCCATAAGAAAGTGATCTCTTTTAAAATATTTAGTGTAAACATAGTAGAGAAAGGCTAAGAAATTATATACTATTTTGTTTTATTGAAGTTAAATCATTAAATTTTAAATATTATAATGAAAAGGGGCAATGAATTTTTTTGGGCCCTACTTCTATTACCCAAAAATTAATGGTGCGGGTGGTATTTATAGAAAGTTAAGCAGTATTAAATAAAAAATTGAGCAACAAAAAAAAGTGTTCGGTTAATTAAACATTGTCTAGACAATTTTTAATAAAAAAATATCATAATTTATAATATAATGGCAAATTAAAAAAAGGTCCTCATTTTTAACTTTTTATAAAAAATATTTTATTTAGTTTATCTGGGTTTTGACGAAACTACAAATGCTGCAGGTATAAATTATTTAACCAAGTTTTGATTCCTCTTATAATATAAGGCAAATCATTAAAATCAATTTACTGGATATATTTAAAATAAAGTAATACTGATTAATAAAATTTCATTCAATGTTCAACCTAATAATTGATGGCTTAAATCATTTAAAATCTGATTTTATTTAAGACAAGTAGAATAAATATAATATTATTCCGCAAGATGAGGTTAATTATTCTTAATATTAGATATAAATGAATTTAAAAAGTTTGACGTTCGGTATTACTCAGGCTTATGATGGTTTTTTTCGTGATATCCCATAAAGTTTTAATTGGATTATCAGGAGTCGATTTGGACATCCAAAATATGAATCCTTATACCGTGTATCTTTTAAATCAATTTCGCAGTATGTCATAGTGCATCGTCAAAATACACTTGCGCAATGAGGAAATAAGACGTGGATGATTGGGTAAAGATGTTGACCTAATATCCCATATTTTAGAGTGTCCATAATGCCGTTTACAAACTGATTTTTACCACATTTTTATCACATAAAACCCCATATCATTGTGCATGTAGATATTTAGCTATTTGGTTTAAACAATAATGATGAAAGGCGTCATTTTTATTTCTTATAAGATCCCTAACATTACCATTGTTGATTTCGAAAGGGGATTCACCTAATTGAAGAATCTATTCATTTTTCAAAGTCTAACTACTGTATTTAAGCCCAGTATAATCTTCTTTTTTTGAATCATCCTTAATAGTGTTTATTTATATAGCCTTGATTGTAAGAATAAGTCAGGCGCAATAATGACAAATAAATAAATACTTTTTAAACAAATATCTCATTTTATTAATTCTATATGCCATGTTGTTGCAGACCTGTTTCTCTTTTATAGATGAATAGTACGACTAAATTTAAGTCAAGAACAATTTTTAATTGGAAATTTTCTTGCTTATAAAATTCAATATAAGATTAAATTAATATTACTTGAATAAATATTATCAAAAAATATTTGTTTAGCAATAGAATTTTTACAAGAATATTGAAAAATTTTCTCCCCCTTAGCAATTGCATTGTTATTATGGGGAGCTACAATGTTGTGCAGATTTAATTCAAAACATTTCCATATTTTTTAATTCGTTTGTAAATAAAATTATTTAACTTGTAAAAATTATAAGATATATAAATATGTTATTTTAACAATTTTTTGCAAGTCAAATAATTTTATTTTCAAATAAATTAATAAATATGGAAATGTTTTGAATTAAATCTGCACAACACTGTAGTTCCAATATTATTTCATACTAAATAAATTTTATTAAAATTGTCAAACTCTCCTTACGTTATTGCGTAACCATTTTAAAAGCTGTAGTAAGATTATTTAATCTTCAGATATTTTAGAAGTTGTTTGCAAAGCAAGCTTTCTTATCTAATATCACACTCATATTTTAGATGGGATGAATAAATATCTAAACAAGTTGATTTAAAATCATTCATAATATATATATAAAGATATTTCCATAAACACTTCTAAATCTAAACGTCCCAAGATTATAAAAACAATCAAAATAATTTCTTTTAATTTGATAGTTTTCCTACCCCAATAATATTGAGCCTACGTGTTTACGTATCTAAAAGATATTAGAGGTCATATTAATATGTTAAGAAGTTTCCAACGATTTAAAAAGTGTTTTTGAAATTAACACATGAAAAGGAGCTTGAAGTGTTAATGCCCATAATATCTATTTATATTTAGTTATCATAAATAATATTCCATCTTGTAATACATAATTTGATTGCATTTCTTAATAAAATGTTTATAAAAAAAATTATATGCAAATATCTTTGATATTGTACTTTATAATGAACAAGTAAAACCTTTGTATTTTTTAAAAATAAAAAAATTGTAATAAAGAATAAAATGTTATTATAATTTTATTATATGCTATTTAATAAAGTTTCCGTTATTTTTTATAATTTTTAATCAAATCCTATTTTAACTTTTAATTTTACTATAAAAGGAACTATAATTATAGTTATAATTACTCTAGAAAATCACAATTACATGTATTTATGATTACTCTAGAAAATCACAATTACATGTAATAATAATTACTCCAGAATAACTCTAGAAAATCATAATTACATGTAATAATAATTACTCCAGAATAACTCTAGTAATTATTTTTAGAAAAAGAATTAGTATAATTATGAATCAATTACAATTTTTTGCAATTATGCCAATCCCATCCCTGTGGTATGTAGTAATAAAAATAATATTAAAAAAAATAACGTTTTTATTTAAAAATAAATGATTATATATTTACAGCTAAAAAATTTTTAATAAAATAGAAAACTAATTATGGTAAATATTTAAAATACGAAAATACAATTCATTCATTTATATTATTCTAAAATTTAATAATAGGATTGCTTGGAATTATTTAATAAACCGAGCAAATTTCATCAGTTTAAATTTCCAGAAATAAAGTAATATTACATAAAAGCTTAACTTAACATTTTTTTTAAATTAATAAAAATATGTAGGGCTGCAAAAAGTATAAAATTTAAGCGTAAAGTTTCATACAAGTGCGAAGAATCAGTTGTGATTCCTTTATAAAAAGCGGAAATGATTTTATTTAAACCCTATTTAAAGAAGAAATATGATTTGTTGTCAAATTAAACTAGAATTTGATAAGCATTTGAAGATTTTTTTTAAAAAAATTTTGATTTCATCTTTTTTTATGCATGAAATTTTCAAAAGATTTACTCCTAAGAGATTTTTTTAAAAAGATTTTGGTCTTAGGTAAAATTTGATCAAAAATCTGTTAAAGAATTTAAAAGATTTTTTTCAAATTCTGAATTAAACAGTCCTTAGTAAAAGTATTTTACCCGATAACCCAAGGAATTACCCCTAATCACGGCCGAGCCCATATCGGCGTCTTCGTACTCATTGGTATCATCGTCAAAATACATTTGATCCCTATTCTCAAAATTTTCACCGTCGACACTCCCATCCACGATGTTAAGGGAGTAAGATGAACCTTTGAGTTTTCTGACATTGAACCCCGTTTTGTAATATTTAGAAGCATTGTAAGATGATGATTTTAAGTACATTTCGGAAGTGAAATCGTTATCATTATGGGAAACCATTGGACTCGGAGGTTGGATTTTGATATCGATTATTTTATTGTTAAAAGCACCAATAGCTTTTTTTGAATCATCGACAGGACTAAAGTTAACTTGCAATAATTTATCAGGCCTTTTGGTTGGAGGGGGAGGTGAGTATCGCTCGGCAACAATGGAAAGTCTGTAAAATTATATCATACTTTAATAATTTCTGAATTCAAATGTTTTGGCATTGAAATATTTTTAATTACTATATAAAAAAATTAAATAATATAAATTGTAAAATGATTATAAGAGTTTAATAAAACATGCCAAAAAGTTAACTACCAGAATCCAAATTAGTTTGTTATGGCAACATTAACTCAATTTATAAATACAAAAATAAATTTATAAATGCAAAAATATGGAAATGGCATATTATATAATGCCTACTTCGAGGTATTTTTGGTGTTGTAAAAAAATTGATTAATAATTTTGTTGGCTTGTCTTGAGTTGGAAGGAATGTGCCCGTTTAAAGATATTATCACGTCCCCCTTAAGAAATATATCAAAATTACATAATAAAAGACAATAAAGATGTTTCAAAACATAGTTTAATTTTATACCTATCAGAAGAGCTTTATAACAAGCATAACGGAAATAAAAAAAAAGTAGGGTCTCTTACACCTGAGAGAGGGGGGGTTTATCTTATGATGCAATAAATGCCATTAAAATCCGGGAGAAAGTATTTTGATTTTACATTGATTTTTGTTTTATAGAGCAGATAAGAGAGGGATCCTGCTATAGATTTAATATTCTATCATTTAATATAATTTCGAAAGAGAGTGTATTAGATTTAACTTTGTTTTTATATGTTCATTTTTGTGTATGTATTTTTTAAGGGTAGTGATTCTCTCCGTCGGACTAATTTAAAATTTTATGAAGATACGCTTAACAAAGACTAAATTTTATGTACGGCAAAATATATATTTTTTTATTTAAACACCATCACACAAAAAATACCATGTTTATCTTATCAAAGGTTGTTTTTTTTAGTTTATGATAAATATCAGGAGGAAAAGTTAAACGGAACAGAGAATAAATAATTTTCGCTATGACCCTAACAGGTATTACGACTTTATAGGCAACTCATAGTCCTAGAAAGATCGGCATTTGTATTTTTGTAATTATAGAATGTTCCGCGGCTAAAAGTGATCTTAAACAGGGCCCTCTTGTCATAAATATCGAAATATCGATCCCTTCCGATTCCAGCCGTCCGTTGATTGCATGAAATGGTTTTAGAACTTAAGAGCCAAAATTATATATTCGAGTTAATTAAACTATTTTTAGGGGGATTTGGTACTGATAGAGGCAATGTTTAAATAAGGTGCATGTAATCATGTGGAAATGGCAGGCCCTCGTTATTGATATTATGGGTGTAACCTGTGAGGAAGTGTCTTATGTCTTATAGGAGTCTAAAGACCCTGGAAAAAGATGACTAATATTTCAAATATAAAAGTAACGCCTAAAATATGTATTTGCAAAAAAAATCGAAAAAAAAACAAACCTTCCTTAAATCAATTAATTGTGCTGGCGAATTGGCTAAAACACCGTCTATTACAATGCACATCTCCCCCTTTTCAATCACGAATTGCTATTTTAAATGAAAAAAATTTATATGATATTAATTCAATATTTGGGAAGACTAGAAAAATAATTTGTTATTAAATCATAAAATTATTATCAAGGTTTATAAAATAATATAGCAAGGAATTGATTCTGAACTCCAACCCGGTTGAACCTGTTTTTTTGGTAAATCCGAACCTGTTTTTATGAGTTTTGGTTTAGAAATAACTGAAATTTAATATGGTCTCAGACTTAAACTAATGAGGTACAAGAAAATGGTATTTGATAATCATCAAAAATTTCATATTTCGTATTCATCATTGACCAATTATCGTTTTATAATATATTTTAAATTATAAAATTAATATTGATTATAAAATATAATATTGATAGATTTAATAAAAGCAAAGCAGGGATACGGAACAAAGCTATTACTATGTTCAAGCTTCATCCCAGTCCTAAAAATGTTCCATACCAGTGGGGAACGTTCCAGAAAAAAATATTCAAATTCATTTTATCAAACTAACTCATTTATTAAATTATTACCTAAAGTAATAATATCAACCTTAAAAAAATTTTCATTTATAATTGTAGGTTGGGATATAAGTAAGGCTCGGACCAAAATATCAAAACAAAAATGTAATTTTCAAAACAAAACCATAATGAAATAAACAAAAGCAAAAAAATTTATTTAAAAAGTGGCTTTTTGAAACAGAAAAATTGAAAATTATTGGTTTAAAAAGTCACATTTGACTGTGCGGAATATGTAGACAAAAATATGACATAAGCAAATTAAACGGATCAAATTTGAGATCAATTTATTCAACCAGATTCACTGCGATTTTTTGAGTTGATAAAAAAAAAATTTTTTATTGTATCCACTAATACTTTAAGTCAAGTGAGCAGAGAAAGTTAGCTATCCAATGTCATTTTTTAAATTTAAGTAAATATAAAAGCAGATTTATACTTGTAGGTTATGTAACAGATTAATACAAATCATTAGTTTGTTTATATAATAGAAATGAAATGAGAATGTAACTTTCGTTTAATAAATATTTTTCTGGAAAGTTTCAAATTGTCCTAGAATATATCGTTTAGGTTGAAACAAGTCTTGAACAAATGTAATTTACATTCTAATTTATAAATTTTGAGGTCCCGATAAATAGGACGTTTATCCCACCCAGCCCAAATAGATAATAAAACAGTCTAAAACTATGGTTAAAATCATTTTGGTAACCTTTAAAAGAAGGGTCCCAAAACTATAGGATAAAAACTCTTATGACTTTAAATTAATTCTTCTAACTAACTTAGGGGGAACAAAAAAGCTTTATGAACCTGTTTACAGAAAAAACCAGATGTTTGCCCCAGATTACGGACTAGATATTTGTGATAGGCCTTCCAATGTGTGGCGCGAAATTTGGTCATGGCATCATCATTCATATTTTTCAAAGATTTTTCACCTTACAATAATTATGAAAAAGGATTTTAATTTCTAACTTATAATTATAACGATATCTTAATTACAATTATTCATTATTTTCTAATCTTTTTACTATAAATATTAATGTTTGTTTATCAAAAAATACCTAATGATATAGTCAAGTAAACAGAACTGTTTTCGGGCAAATTTGGCAGAAGTCTACACACCTCTATAATGCTTATGTTCAGTCTTCCTAGCAATATCAAAGGAATTGGTGTCTTTTGAATCTCCTGTATTAGAGAAAAAATCAAATTTGGAACAAAAACTATATAAACATTTAAAAACAAATTAAAAGTGGAGTGGATGTATATAAGAAACTCCAATTGAGAATTTCGATTTGGCCTCTTTATTTTAAGTGATAAAACTATAGGGGATTTCTTGTAGAGGGCTCAATTTTTAGGTATAAAACTAAGAATAGCCAGATCCTTCGGAGCAAAAAGGCTAAGAGTGCTGGCTATAACTTTTTAAAATAATGTTTTTTTCCTATTTTAGTTTCATAATTTATTATACTATAAATCTAAAAAAAACCATCTAAAGAATATAAAAATACTCCTTGTCATGAAGTCCGCTTATATAGTATATTTTAAAAAAAAATTCGCCTGTTGTTAAACGACTTGATTTAGCCAATTTTTAAAATATGTTAACTCAATATTTTTGCCAAAAATAAGTTAGCTTAGAATTTTGCCCACAAATTACAAAAGTTCAGGATATCTATTGACAAGACTATGGTAATGAAATTTTGGCGAAAACTTGAAGAGCAGTTTAACAACACTATGTTTCAGAATAGTGCGACTATTATAAACAAGTCTCTACTAATCTTCTTTAAATGAGATATTGAGTTTTCATACATATTCGGACTAATTTTCTTAAAATGAGATATTGAGTTTTCATACATATTCGGCCAATGGCTTGTCAAATATATGTAAAAATTTTATCAATTCCAGATTTATATATTTCTTTAAAAATATTCCAATTAAAATTTTATTTTTTTATATTTATTTGGCTTTTTTAAAATTTTTTTTATTATTTTTTGGCTATTAAAAAAATATTGAGTCAAACCTGTCTAATTTTAGCCGCGTTGGGACCAAGATTTTTGCCCAACTTTGACAATTGCCCATTTCCCAAGATTCTTTACTTTTAAAAGAACATTTTATTATCTGTTAATTAGTCTTTGTTTTTAAATAAAAAGATCAAGTACTAAATTATAAAGGGTATGCTGGATTTTTAATTTTTAAACAATTTTTTTTCAATTGAAAGCAATGATAGATTCGATATAATAGATTTAGACTCATCATCAGGGTACCTACTATAAATTTAATTCTTTTTAAAGATGAAAATCCCCGTTCTGAACTTGCTGTCGTTGAAACCAAAGTTATGATGAATTTGCATAATTTTAAAAACTCTTTAAAACATTTCATGGTATATGTTACATACTTTTTGTTCCTAAAATTTATAAATAGCGTGCCCTTAATTCGGGTTCTAGCTTGTGTAAGTCGAAATATTGAGAATAGTTTCATTTAATTTGTCCAATAAATTTAGGGGGAAATTTTGATTATAAATGTTTCGATTTTGCCAATATCTAACAATTCGATGAATAACATTTTTTAATTTATCGAACCAAAAATTAATTTCATTGATTTATTATCTCTTATTTTAATTATCAAAATTAAAATTCTTTTATTGGGCAATCTGTATATATTACATTTTTTAAATTTAAATTGTCTTCAATATTCTCTTTTACGTGTAAATTTCTCAAAAAACATCAAATTTTTATTTGTTTGATTTAACGGAATTTCTGAAATCTTTAATGTTTTTCAGACAATAAGATATATCGTTAATTTTTTTAAGATAAATTCTTTTTATTAAATTTTAAAAAATATTTTAAAAAATAGCATATATATAACAATATGAATATAACATTAAAAAAATCCTATAAAAACTATATTAAAAAAACATATAGGGGGGGGGGGAGATCCGATAAAACTAATGGTTGCATCGGAACAGGACGATTTAAGTTGATTGTAGCATTTTAAAAGAAGATTCATGATTATTAATTTGAGAATTTTTTTTACCCAAAATCTTAAAAAAATGATAATCAAACCTAGGGTCCCATAGACATGGCTATTAAAGTATGATTTTGAAGTATATCAAATAATAAATCAGATTCTGGGAAATTTTCTTGAATATATAACAAAATTAGAAAATTTGCATCATTTCATATGTTTAAATAATCAAGATGTTATAAGAATTTATTGATTTAACAACGTAATTACCATTATTAGACAATTTAAATTAATTATTTGTATTGAAAAAGAAGATAATTTTGCTTCCCTTTTATTTATTAAATAATAAGCAATTTTTTTTTATTTGCTTCCCCAATGCTTATCTTTCAAATGTTAAATTGCACAATACTTTCATTTAATTTTCTTTTTATTTATTAAAAAAATAAACAATTTTATATTTTGTTCACCATATTTTGGTTCCACGTCTTTATAGAGAATGTATTTTATAGAGAAACATTTATAGAGAAAACAATTATAGAGAATTGTTTTATAGAGAATGTAGTTTATAGAGAATGTTTTATAGAGAATGTTTTATATAGAGAATAATTTTTAGAGAATTAATTTATAGAGAATGATTTTATAGAGAATGTCGTTTATAGAAAATGGTTTTACAGAGAATGTAATTTATAGAGAATGATTTTAAAGAGATATAGAGAACGTCCTTTATAGAGAATGACTTCAAAGAGAATGATTTTATAGAGAATGTTGTTTATAGAGAATGATTTTAAAGAGAATTACTTTTATAGAGAATTATTTTGTATAGAATAATATTGTAGAGAATTACATTGTAGAGAATTATTTTGTAGAGAATTATTTGTAGATCTTGATTTTATAGAGAAATATTATATATGGGACAATTATAGAGCTCAAAAAATTTATGCGAGATTTGAAAGAAACACCCCCCCCCCTCCCAACAGAAAAGTTTGAATAAATAATTAGCCCTAATGATACGAAGAAATTTAAATATTAATGATTATTATACTTGCTTATAACCAGATCTTTAGACCGACTATCAATAATAAAAGGGCACTTAACCATTCAAACAATGTTAAACAGGACCTTTTACCAGAGGGTAAGGGGTTATAATTCAAGTTTGACATTGAAATTAAAAGGGGTAGTTGGTATATTTTGATGTGGTATAGGAAATGAGAGGAGTGGGGGAAGAAGGGGGTAGGATTATAATATATGCTGCAAAATCTTTTGATAATTAGGTATTTGAAATATCTTCTAAGTGTAAAAGAGTTAGTAAAATATTGTAAGCAATCTGCTGCAAATATCAAGCTTCGATATTTTCTAAAGAAAGACATCGCATTGTAAATCATGATACAAAACTTCTTATAATCAAATGATGAAATACAAGTTTGTCGGTGAACCAACCATATTTAAACAAATTGGTATCAATGAATATAATCCCTATATGTAAATAAAAAATTTCTTATCAATATTAAAAGTCTGATAAAATTTGGTCTATAGAACCTATAAAATTTTGACGACTTCGGAATGTTTAACAAGTGCAAAAAACCTATTAAAAACATTTTAAACTTTTTGATTCATCTTTCTCTACACTGATAAGGAGTTTACGGCTTGTAATAAGAAATTTTCATTTTACTAAAATCAATTTGAAGAAAAGGGTGCATTATTTTAAATTTTGTCGATGTATAATTTTTAGGTAAGGGTTTGAACTATCATTTTGTATTTTGTAAATTCAGATACAATTATTTTCGGACCTATGATGATTTCGAAAAATTGATCCAACCACCACCTAATCTTCCCTGCCTACCCTGTGAATATTAGACAGTATTCTAGTGATCTTTTAACTAAACTTAATTTTGGTAAGGCGATAGTTTGATGGATATTGTTTTATTTTTTGTTATTATTTGCATTTAAAATCATTAATTGAGTGCGTTTTATTAAATTTAAAAATCTGATTTTGCCAGAAATGCATTTGAAGTGTAGAACCACCCTTAATGTTGCGCAATCGGTTAATTTTAGGCAATTCCAAAACGGTTAGCCAAGTTTTTAGGTTAAAAAATCGGCTAAGCATAAAAATAGGCGAAAACTAACTATTCAAAATTAAGACATCGGCTAAGGAGCTCGGTTAATCGCCCGTCATATATCGTTACATAATAAATATATAAAATAATTTTAATACAGGCTAGGCTTAGTGTTGCGTAACGCTGACGGGCGATTAGCCTAGCTCCCAGTCCCTACATTTTGTATAATTAGTTTTAGGCGATTTTTCGGTTAAGCCAAATTAGGTTTAGCCTATTTTTAGGCTATTAACATTACTTATAAATTTCAGATTAATGTAAATTAACATTTCTTCAGAAGTTCAATATAAAATCTTCTGAAATTTATAGGGTGGGTATTCTACACATATTGGAATGCATTTTCGGCAAAATCAGATTTAAAATTTAATAAAACGCGCTCAATTTATGATTTAAAATGCAAAAAATAGAACATAATACTCATCAAACTATCGCCTTACCATAATATTTATTAAATTATATAGATTTTCATTATAAATTATTAAATACAAAAAAATTTTGGCGCAATCGTATGAAATTCCCAAGGTAGATTCTCTTCGGAATATATTTGGTAAAATCAGATTTATCAGGGAAATTAAAAACGCGCACTATAATCAGAGACCTACAGGCCCGACCTTAAACCCGGCCCGGGCCGTATTTTAATTTTTTTAAATATACCCGGGCCGAGCCTAAAATTTTATTTTTTTAAATACACGGGCCGGGTCAAAAAAGCTTTTTTTTAAAAAACCCGGTCCAGGCCATATATTTTAAAACCAAATATTTCGAATCACCATTATTATCTAGGCAAATTAAAAATATATAATATATTTTTAAAAAATCGGGGCCGGGCCATGCAGATTAAAATAATGCACATAGCAACTAAATATTGACAAAATTATCTAAAAAAATTGGCGTAAGGCTGGCTTTGTTGCTAATAGTTTTTTTTAAATGGCTACTTTACTAGCTCTAATAGAAAATGATAAAGAAGGAAATATTTTCATAATTTTAACATTACTACTTCTAATTGTTCAGCGTATTTTAAAAAAAAATAACAACAGGAAACTTAAAAATATTATCATAATTATTCATAAGCAATATAAATAAGAAACGTGAATAATTTTTTTTAAGATTATTTTTTCC